CCATGCATTTGGAAGGCTTGCCAGAAGAAAGCCTTTGTTGTTGTTCAAGCACAAACTTAAGTGCCTGAAGTTTGCAAAACAACACAAAGGCGGGTTTAGTATGAAAACTAGAAGATGAACCACGTTTAGTTTGGTGTATTGGGGGAGGTGATGTCATGGGCCTGTTTTTCTGACCAAAGGCTCTGGAAATCTGGTTAAGAAACAAACAGGAGAAGGGCTCTGTTTCTTGGAAATGCTCTTTTTTTTTTTGCTTTTATTGAAAACCTATGGGTCTTTGTATGGATCCCAACTGAATTTATTTTAAAAATAAATTTTCAATTTGATGAACACCAAGAGATCTAGCACTGTGAATCCAGATCTGATGCACTGATGCTACTATCAGTGAATAATAGTGGTAATTGTAGCATTCGTTTTTATTTAATAGATAAGCTTTTAGGGGTCTGACCACTTTATTAAAATAATACCTTCAGATCTGACCGCTTCACTGGAGTCATCTCATTGTAGAGAGCTAGCGTTACTTGGGTTCCTTTTACTGCGTTTGGCTCCTGTGTTCATCCAGAGTGAGTAAAGTGGAACACACAGTTTCCTCTCCTGTTAGCAACAGCTAAAATCATTCCCCACACTGGATATGTGATTTTATATTTTCTACATGGTTTCGCTAACTGAACATAATTTATCTGTCATAGCTAGCCTGGCGCAGTTGCTGTAATTTTTAAGGAAATTTTATGTGTTTTTTCAAAAAGTATATCCACCTAGGCTGATGTACTGGAGCGTAATTAAATGTCCATTTTGTTAGTTCTACTGCTATTTCAAGTTTGTTTTTCACCACAGAAAGTTGACTTAAGACAGGATTACCTAGTTTTCCACTGGGAGGTGGGTAACGTTACCTAATGCCAGTTTACCTCAGGACGTCTGTAATGTTCATGAGCGATTCGCACGGGTTAAGAAGTCTCGGTCTAACGTTAAATGACAGATATAGGAGCGGCTACTCGATTTATGCACTGCCACCAGAAAACAACATAAAAGATATTAAAACTACAGAGCCCCGCTGGTGACATCCTGTATAAATAAAAATAATGCGTGGCCTTATTAATGCGTGGGAACAAGATCCTAATGCGTGGCCACAACTTAGTAAGGTGTGGGAATGAGATGATTAAGTCGTGGCCACGACTTAGTAAAGCGTGGGAACGAGATCACAGCTTACTAAGTTGTGGCCATTCTTTAGAATCTTGTTCCCACGCTTTACTAAGTCGTGGCCACGACTTAATCATCTCATTCCCATGCCTTACTAAGTGGTGGCCACGCATTATTTTTATTTATACAGGATGTCACCAGCGGGGCTCCGTATAAAACATTTAATTTAGCCGTTATTTCGTTTACCCTACCCTCTCACCTTTACCTCGCTGGCTTAAGTAACTACAGTGCGTCATGAGCCTCGCCATTAGCTTGGGAATTCACAACAGTCAACTTCACCGCATAAAATCGAACATTTTTCTGTAGATTTTACGTTTACTGTACATTTTTACATGTGTAAAATCACTAAGAAAACACCGTAAAAATTACATTACCCATCTCCTCATGTAAAATGAATACCACCCGAATAGAGCTTAAGATTCATTTTACCTCAAACCTGAGGCTGTTTTTGCGCAAGAGAAAAGTGCACGTGCACACACAAGTGCTGTTGCCATGGTAACTTTACAACGTTTGAAACCCGTTTCCACCGCTAGAAAGACTATATAGCCATTTCGTAAGTAACGAGAAAGTTATCACTTGTGACTTGCTATCTCATAATGAATTAATATCTATATAATTGCGACTTCCTATCTAATAATAATGAGAGACTTATGATCTCACAAGATTGACCTGGTATTTCATGATTGTGACTTAAATATGAGAAAATGTTATCGTTATTATGACATAGTAAGTCATTTTATGAGATATTCAGTCATAATTATGAGAAATCTTTTCATTATAATGCGACACTTAGTCATCATTATGAGATACTGAGTGATAATTATGAGATATGTTAGTCATAATTATTAAAAACTTTCTCACTAACATGAGATATTAAGTCATAATTCCTTAGAATTATGACTTAGTATCTCATGGCATTCCTTCGACTTCACACAAAGTAAAAATCTTTGTCACTGTTTATACCTTTAAGGCACCGGTTCCCATATTTTGTTATATTCTTTTCCCTCTGAGGTCCGTTTATAGCATTTATTTTTACATAATCTCCAATCTCTCTTCATCCCTTAAATTCAAACAGCCTGTTTTTTTTGTTACTGTGCCTTAAATGTGTTCTGTTCTGATTGGCTGCCTTGTACTGTAACTTATTCAAAAAGCAGCCCTGACTGAAACACTCCTTATAACCTCAGTTTTTGCAGCATAGTTTGCGTATATAGAAAAATAGCCTGTATGAACTGAGAGTGACTGGTAGTTTTGAAACTTTAACATTGTTTTGATGCCACATCGAGCTATTTTACTACAACAAAGTGAGGAAAATTAGTTTTTCCATGATATGCGGCCATTAAGTTTTTAATTTCCTAATTTACCCTTTTAATTATCCATTATAACACTGTATTGCAGATAGAACTGCACTGAATTGCACACACAAAGACAACCACAGCCACAGGGCCTGAAGACATGACTTTATTAATAAACAAACAAGCAAGCATGAAAAGAACAATGCGATTGCGCCCCCCACCCAGAGTTTGAAAGGCAACCCAGCGGCACAAGGTGTGTAGATATTGTAGGTAATGTGTGAGCCAGAAAGAGAGAAGTACTGAAGTAGTGGCGTCAGTAGATGCCTGTTTAACAGTGGATCTGAATGGTGCTGTTCATCCACACAGTTAAGGACATTCAGAAGTGCCAGAGACTGGGCCCAGTAACTGGGGGGCATGACTGTGGATTGTGCAAAATAACTGTTGTAAGATAAGGGTGTGACGTCTAGCCGTCTAGTGAAGGAAAATATTTCGAGTTTGTCCAGATATGAGAACTGTAGTAGCTCTGTGTGTCACAGGACAAGGCATTGAAAACAAACGATGGCCTAGTTTCTTTTAAGTCATGACAGGAACTGTGAAGTTTGGAAGCTGAAGTTATGTAGGTAATGCCGTGTATGGGGGGTGCATGGGCTCTGAAATGGTTCATATGAGTGCTGGTATTGTCATAAGAGTAAATCTGGCAACACTTTACCTGGAGCTGGCTTCTTTATCACCACCTAGTCTAAGCATGAATCAATTTGAAAATAAGATAAGCATGTGACAGCAACACCAGATCAAAGCAAGATACCTTTCAGAACAATATGGAGCGTCATAGTTTACTGCGTATGACATACTGTAGTGTATCTTTATGTAAAGTGTTACCAGGAGGAGCCCACTCACTCTGCCCCTTAATCTTTTAGATGAATGAAAGGACTGGAGCAGTGGAGCTCAGAGCAGAAGGCATTATGCTGACCATATCAACACAGAGCGTACACAAATGCCAGGCTGCTCATTAATGATGAGATATTGCTCGTTGATAGAGTGAAACCCATACACGCGCACACACACTCACACGTACAGTACACTGACAAGTATCCATGCACAAGTGCACAACTTAATCTGTAATACTGTTCACTGCAGCGGACTAAAACAATATGTACCAGAACATCAGTCATTTCTCTGAGAACTAAGAGTGTACCATAGAAACAAGGGTGATGATAGTCACATACAAATATATTAATCTCTAAACCAATCATCTTTCATCACTGGGGCTCACTACCTGTGATTGGACAGCTGCGTATACCAGTGGGGAACCCTCAGGGCCTCCTAGGCCTTCAGAGAAGGCCTAACGATTGCTGTGAAATGGATGTTTGTAATTTTTCGTTTAATAGAATTATCATGTGTGTTGTATTTAAAGTCTGTAGGTATTGTTGTAATTCTCTTATTTCATTGTTTAGCTTTGGGTGCAGGTGAAGGGGTTAAACGCACAATGGAAAATGATCCAATCAGGGTTGTTTTTCTCTTTGGTATCTAGGCAGATATGGTCAAGCGAGCTCTCCCATTGGTTAGGACTTCAGGAGCTGGATTAGAGGCCTAAATTCAGATTAGCCACTAATATAAATAGGACCTTACAGTGGAATCAGCCATTTACATTTTGATTTAGAATGGGCGGGAGCAATTTTGTGAGAAGGGTCATTCTATTGGAACGTCCATTTTTATGTCCCTAGCATTTACAGATATATTACACTTGAAAAGACATGTTAGGGTGAAAATTTATTTATATTTTAAAATAAAACAATATGTTATTTTAACAATTACACCTTCTTGAGCATCAATTTAGCAGTATTGGTTTTTAAATCAATTATATAGAATTCCAAGCAACACAGAAGTGCTCATCCCCACAGTCATGTGTAAAGGCTGAGGCCATATTTTGAGGTAAAAAACATGTTTTTCTGTGATTTTAACTGCAATAATCTATACATGACTATGAAATTCATGAATTAAATGACATAAAGAAAAAAAATGCCAAATAAATCTTATAAAATATGTAATAAAAGTTGTTGTCCCCAGGAGTCGTGTCACTGGTGTTACTGCATAACAAAAAATCTCTTATTTTAAAATAAAAGTCACACTGATGACATCACTTGACTTCCTTTCACCTATTTTCTAAGGATCTATGAAGAAAAGCACATGGTGCGTCCACTGTGTCTTTCAGTTATCAGAGATTTTCTCATTTAGCTCATGATTTCATATGAAGCTTTTAGCTGAAGTCACTGGTATGACCTCCTTTATTCTTAGGTAATTGTGAAAAAATAGAACACAAATGGATTAAATTACATATTTTAGTGGATATTCCATGATTGACAACATGTGGTTTGATGTTATGTAGCAGTTATTCTGTAAAATGCATTTTTCATTAAAAATGTCACTGGCGTTACTGTCTCTGGTGTTACTGTCTCTGGTGTTACCTTTCTTATGTGTAACACCAATGGCGATCAGTAACACCAGTGACTCCTGTGCATACATAAAAAAGTGGACGTTTCTGTAGAATGACCAAGAAAACCTGTCACTCTAGGCCTTCTGGAAGTCCTAGATACATCCAGACCAAAGTGTTTCATTCAGTTGTAACTGTAAAACTCTTATAACATATAAGTTAACATCTGTTATAAGCTTCAAATAGAATCATGGAATGTGTTTTATAAGCTTCAAATGTTCATGTTCATATGAATCGCTGTTGGCTTAGCGCTAGCATACTACTAGAATCCCATAGGGGTAGTAGCAGAAATTAGCACAGGTCACAGTCCGCCACTGGTGTGTACAATACAGCAACTAGCCAATCATTACACAAATCTGAAGAAACTCAAACATCAACCAAACAAAAACAGCTTGGAATTCCTCTCTCGACTTTTGTAATGAGGTTTTGGTGTACAGAATATAAATAATTTCTTTCCCATATTTTGATAAATACACATTTTTAGGACTGTATACTGTAGGAAAAGCTCTATACAATCTGCAATGCACCAAGCATTTTACTCACACTTGTCACCAGGCTAAAGCACTGCTGATACACGAACACACTGCAAACACACAAGATGAAGCTCCGGGCAGGAAATGCCCCTACGCACTGACCTTGAATCAGGTATATCGTTCTCACATTACCCGTGCCATGCTGATTCAAGACCTCTACCTAGGAGCACCTTCTTACAACACATGTTAAGCGAAGTCAAGCCAGAGATGGAATGAGAGAAACGAGGACAGGTAAAATGGACTTTAGCGGATGGGCCATTCTAGCAGGTGCAGATTGTGTCAAGCAGAGCAGGTGGTCTGATTGGTTGATCGGTTGATTGGCAGAGTCCAGTGGCCATGGGGCTTTTTCACAGACCAAAGTCAAAGGTCAGGTCAGACTTGCCCATCTTCTGTCGGTACACAGCATCAAACTTGTCGTTCATGGACACAGTGAAGATGTCCTTCCACAGGCCCACACGACCTGAAGCAACATACAGACGGAGAATTAACAAAAGAGGAGCCTTTACACTGAAATCAGCTGAGCCAACACATCACAGAAGTCTTATTAACCCTTAGAAGTTGCAGTTTTGGCTGGTAATATGATTTTAATATGACTGGTAACTTGTAGCTTATTGAAACAAGCATTGCAAAACTATTGAAAGGGAGGAAACTTTCCACTGTTACCACATTAGTGTTTGCCAGTAGAAAAAGAGACATCTTATTGTGATTTGAAGTGGATGTAAAGTTACTATAGGCTTATTTTCCTGAAAAAAAAAACATTGTTTACATTTTGGCTATGTTTCTGTTGTTGTTCGACGCTGAAATAAACAACAATAAGTCAGATGTTAGAATGTTAATAGAATGTATGTAATTCATGATGTAACTAACTACATAATTAATGATGTAATTATGTGATTACACTGAAATATTATAAGAAAATGACCAAAATTCTACACTTCTAAGGGATAAAGTGCTTTTTCATCTGAATAAATGCGAATCGGTCAGATTTATCAGAATAAAACTGAGGCCCTTAATCTATGGACCCACAGCCACTTTGATTTTTAGAACACATGCAACCACTACTGCTAGGAGTTTCTACCTCCTTGACACTCACCTTTTCTCTCCTACTCCCCCTCTCCCTTTCTCTCTTTCTCCATGCTCACTGTTTATCTAAGACCCTACAGCATGCTCATCACTTCTCACCATCAAGTCAAGCAAAGAATCCATGCACTGAAGGAAAAAAATCAATGAGACAAAAGGATCATGAAAAACACCAGAAAACAAACAGATTAAATGATAAAAACAATCAATGCAGAAAACAATGATAACAAGGAAGCAATAAAAGAAAAAAACATTAACAATAACATATAAAAATAATGTCAAATTTAAAATAACTCATATCAAACATATTAAAACCCCAGCCTGGCACAGCCATAGAGAAGTGTATTAATGCACATTGTAGTGTTGTATAATGTTGTAGTGCTGTTTTCTTTTCTGCAAGTGAACAAAGAAATAGTCTGCTTTTCTCTATGGTTCCTGACTGAGGCTTTAATAAACATAATGTTTTCAAAAGCACAAAATTAATTGGTGAGTCAAATCAAACAAGCATTACACTTTTTCACCAGGTGATGGCAGTGAAGCCAAAACGGACTCTATGCCAAAACATACTCCAGATTACATGCAAATACATACAGGACATATTCCAGCAAACACTCTCAGAAAAAAGGTAGTAAACTGTCACTGGGGCAGCACCCCTCCTATCACTGGGGTGCGACCCTCGAGGGCACATCTCAGTACCTTTAGTCAGGGAACATAACTGAACCATAATCCATTGAAATTATGTTTTCTAAGTTGTACTGACTCCACACACCCCGTCTCGTCTCCAGGCGTTTATTTTATTGTTCTGTTTTAAAACGTTCGGTTATGAAAAGGTACAAATATATAAAACTTATTTAAGGTACACAGTTGGACCTTAAAATCACTGTTGTACCTTTGAGGGCACATTTATATTGTTTGTACCTTGACAAACGAAAAATGTACCTGAACAGAACCTTTATTTCTAACAGTACAGGAGTTCAATTACTCAGTTCCTTGCCTTATATAACTACCATCTGAGATGAGTCATCAAATGCATACACTGTTAAAACTATAAGGCAACCAGCTGCTCAGCTTTACTCAGTTAACTCAAACTTCTTGGTTTACTAAGAAGTTCTGTTTCACTTTATTAGGATAGTCCACTATAGTCCCCTATAGATCATCTACAGATGTTCAAATAAACAAACTATCTATTGAAACTCAGTTGATTCTAAACAGTGGTGGGGTTAGGGTTAGGATTTGGACCAGAGTTAGGGCTAGGACTGGGGTGAGGGTTTGGGTTTAGGGGTTTTGGGTTGAGGTTAAGATTAGGATTAAAGCCAGGTTTAATTTATGGTCAATTTAGTAGATATTTAGTTGAATGTAACTTGAAAGTAAATTAAGTATCTTCAAAGTATCTAAAGTCTTTTTTGCTCAGATAAACAAAATTTTGGTGTACTTCAATTATGACCTTTTAAAATTTTTAAAGCATGTTAGTCAGTGTATTTGAGTGTACTGACTTGATTTTGTTTGATTTGTGGTTGTAGTGACGACAAACAAAAGCCATAATCTAAACAGCTCAGGTTCCCCACTGTGTTATTATTTTCACGTTACAATTCACATACTAGCACACTACACAGTATGCAGAAAATAGTGCATATACCATTAGAAGTGCACTCATTGGTGTAGTAGAAGTACAGATGTGTGTAGTGTGGGATGCGGCGTTAGATCAGGCAGTGAGGTGCGTTCAACAGCTCCAAAGGCTGATTATAGCTTTGCTGTGCTGCACATTAAGTGCTTGGTAACAGTTAAACATCTCCAAGCAGAAGTTTGAAGTATTTGTTGATTAAGGATCATTTATTGAGGTAAATTGATACATTTATTTTTGGAACGCCGATGTTAAATTCGTATTCACCAACTTTCGAAATTCATTCTACATTTAAGGCGCCTCAGTGTAACTGCAGCACCATTTAAGGTGGAACTGAAAATTCAAATAAGAAACTTACTTAAGCTTAATATGTATGTGTGAGTTTATTACTTAAGAGCTTTGGCAGCTTTAGTAGCCACTTTTTTTTAGTTTTTACTGGAATGTTCTGAACTCTGGAGATGTGCAGGCTATACAGATACAGTCCACCAATCTAACAAATCTTCTGGTAGGGTTTTCTGGAGATGCATCTAAAGCATCTACGTGTCTTTTAATCTCTTTAGTGGTCATTCCTGTCTGTTTTGCTTGGTTTTTATCCACTTGCAGGGTTGTAAATGCAGCAAAGATGATAAGACAAGCTCTATCAGAGCACAGTCAGAGTTACAGCTTGCCTCCAAAATGGTGACGTGGTCTTCTTAATGATGCAATCAGATACTATGAATTTCCACACTGAGGTTAGGACCAGAGCCCATTTTTGAGAAGCCTGGCCCCCCTAATTCCCCCGTTATATCAAAAACAGAACTGCACAACAGCAGAGGGTGCCCGCGAGCGAATCCTGAATGAATGGGTGTAAATGGAGCTCAACGGCTAAAAATGAAAAGTTAAAATAGTTTCTGATCACTTATACAGAACTTTCCTTTAATTTAAGAGAGCAGAGGGATGTGTTTCACTAAAAAAGCAAAGAAAAACTCACCTGTATGTTTCGTTCTTTCTGCAGCAAATGGGTTTTGGGCAGCAGGACATAAGCATTACTGCTACTGAGTGCTGAGTGGTTGGTGAGCGGAGCAGCTCATTGGCTGTTCGCGCTCACAGACGTCATGAACGTACATGAGGCACCGTTTTAAACTCCTGTAAATGGAGTTTAAAAGCTCTTAAAAATATAACAGCGGTGTTAAAATGTTTTGTGCTATTTGATGATATTCTTTTACATTAAAAAAACATTTATAAACTATGATTTTGCTCAAATGCTCCATCTTAACCCATTCATTTTGGACTCGCTCAGGAGCGCCCTCTAGCGTTTGAGAAACCTGGAAGACATTACAGAGTGGCAATTCTCCTCTCTACAAGTTTTTGGTTAGGACTCCCTCATCACATGGAAACCCCAAGTTGGGGGGTGACGAGGGCTGATAACCTCCTCCTCTCAGACTGCTGGCCACAGAAAACTGTTTGCACCAGGACTTGAACTAATGACCTCCTGATGGTCACTCAGCACTCAGACAGTTGGACTACTTGGAAGCCGCAAAACGTCACATATTCCAAGAAAGGAGAAAAAGATACATTTACTCAGAACAGCGTGACCTGCGTTCAACGTGAGGATTTTATTGTGTTATTAAATATTTTGATATGGTTTCTCACTTTTTAAAAGAAGATATAAAGCTTATATAGCTTTTGAGTAGCTGATCATCAGGGGATCATGAGTTTGAATCCTTGCAACACCACAGCCCTCTGTGGTCGAGAGTCTGAAAGGAAGAAGCACTCGTCCCTCACCCTCCCAGCCTGGGAGCATCTTGCAACAGAGTGGGTCCAAGCCTGTGTGTGTGAATTAGCAATGACCAAGTTGGGGGAGGGAGAAACTGAGTACTTAATCTGTATTGTTTACTCAAAAGTACTGAATATGTGAGTCAATAGAAGTTTACTGAGCTAAGAAGTTTGAGTGGCCTTTAAATTGAGTTAACTCAGAAAAGCTGTGCAGCTGGTTGCCATATCATTTGATATTGGCTATACTATTGACCATGTATGCAAAGGACTTTTTCTGTATCCAAAGAGCTGATCTACCCGCACACTTAACCAGGAGCTCAACCTTTCATTTAAACCTTTGTCCTGAAATCCTGGATTGTATTTGTATGTGAACGGCAGGGTGGATCAAGGTTAAGGGGCAGACGGCGTCCAGTCATTGTGAAATGAGTGGGGCCACATGCTGGTATGCACTGCAGGCATGCATCTCTGTCCCTTTGCTGAAAATAGATGCCACAATGTATATGATGGGAACTTGAATAAACAGAGCCAAAGGTTCTGGGTCACATCAGCTCCCAGAGCTCTCAGCAGTGTCGCAGTGTTCACAGAAAAGCCCAGCGGAACGAACCCAGCGCCCCCTGTTACAGCAACCTGCCAAACCCACACGCCTCTCAGTCTGACCACCATCAGCTGATCTTTCTGTTTCCGTTCATTCATTCTTTCTTTTTCTTTCTTCTTCATTCACTCATTAAATCAATAATTCTTTCTTTGTCTTTCTTTCTGTCTTTCTTTTTCCTTCTTTCTTCCCTCCTTCCTTCCTTTCTTTCTTTCTTTCTTTTTCCTTTTCTTCCTTCCTTCCTTCCTTTCTTTTTATCTTTCTTTCTTTCCTTTTTTTCTGTCTTTCTTTTTCCTTCGTTTTCGTTCTTTCTTTCTTTCTTTCTTTCTTTCTTTCTTTTTCTTTTTCCTTCTTTCCTTCTTTCTTTCTTTCTTTCTTTCTCTTTTTCTCTTTTTCTTTCTCTCTTTCTTTTTTCTTTCTTCTCCCTTTCTTTCTTTCTTTCTTTCTTTCTTTCTTTCTTTTTCCTTCTTTCTTGTTTTCTTTCTTTCTTTCTTTCTTTCTTTCTTTCTTTCTTTTTCCTTCTTTCTTTCTCTTTTTCCTTCTTTCTTTCTTTCTTTCTTTCTTTCTTTCTTTCAGTTACTCTGTTTCCTTTATTTTAAGATCTGTCTCTTTTTCTCTCTCTGACGCCTGGAGATGGGCAGCAGCCAATCAAACTCCCATTTTCCAATCTGCCAACATTCTCTTCTTTCTTTCCTTCTTTCTTTAACCTTTTTCTTTATTTCAATCTCTCTCATTTTGGTTCATTATCTCTGTCCCTCTTTCACTCCTGCAGATGGACAGTGATACCGCGATCAAACAAACCTACATTTTAGTTAGTCGACAGTCAACTCTCTCTCTCTCTCTCTCTCTCTCTCTCTCTCTCTCTTTGTCTCCCTTTCTTGCTTTAACTTTATCTCTATCTCTTTATCTCTGTCTCTGACCTCTGCAGATGGACAGTGACCAATCAAACCCAGGTTTTCCTGTCTGCCAGTAGTCAGTTCTTTCTTTGATTCACTTAATCATTCTTTATTTCTTTAACTCTCTTTCTCTCTTTCTCTCCTTCTCTCTCTCTCTCTCTCTCTCTCTCTTTCTCTCTCTCTCTCTCTCACCCCTGCAGATGGACAAAGCCTCTGAGTTGCAGCACTGCTCAATCAGCTGATTGCAGCTCTCCACCATGCTCTCCAGCTGAGCCTTATCACACGAGACACCCAGAAACCGCGCCAGCTGCTCCACCAGCGTGCCCAGGTCCTTCAGAGAGAGGTAGAGAGAGAGAGAGAGAGAGAGAGCATGAAACATAGACACAACAAGGCCTACACTGTAATTCTACACTAATTCTACATGTTTATTTGCATTTATTGCAATGATATATCATTGCTGTCCAAAAAAAAAAGGTTTCTCCAGTATGGTTACTTTACAGGAGAGGGAAAAACCTTCTTTATAAGTATAAGACAGCTGCTGAGCTCAAATTATGCAGAAAACTAAAACAAAAAAAATGGAAATACTTTTTTTTTGGACAGCAACAATATATATGTATATATATATTACAAGCAAATACAAATTTATTGCCAAGATAAATAGCTTTAAATAATGTGATTAGGAGCCTAGAACTTCTGCACAGTACCGTATATCCAACCCTAACCTTTCTTTGACCTTTCCATACTTCTATAACTTTCTGACCTTTGACCCACTCCATACATTGTGCACATTCTCACAGCAGTGAGACACACACTGCACAGTGTGTTCAGGAACAGCCTGTTCGCTCTGAGCTGTTTGTTCACATATAGGAACCACACGTTCTCCTGGAGCACATGACACTGCAGTATCACTTCTGTGCATGTGTGTAGATGTCAGCATTGGACTCTGTACTGTCTCACCATTTTTATCTTATAGATAAATATAAATAGACACAATGTTTGCTTAAATGTATGCTTTTTCTCATAAGCTATAACGCTATTCTCAAAAATAACAACTTTTAGAGCCTCTGCGCTTTAGAACATTTAGAGCATCCAGTTGAGACAGTCTGCATACTTCTCAGTCTATTCAGGCCATAAATTTGTGTGAGTAGTGCCTGTGAGTGTTTTACAGCCTCAGTGTATAGATTTATGGAAAGATGTATGCAGTGGTGGACAGTAACTAAGTAAATGTAATTCGTTGCTGTACTTAAGCAGTTTTTTTGTGTATCTGTACTTTACTGAAGTATTTCCATTTTGGGTGACTTTTTACTTTCACTCCACTACATTTCAAAGTCAAATATCTCACTTTTTACTCCACTACATTATGAGAAATCTGTCGTTCCTTTTGTCTTATGTGTGCATAATAATGTAACATGTCAAAACAAAAGAAGCACAAAGCAAGAACACCAATCACGGCACAGCGCACACTTTGTTTTGAGCTTGTTTTGACCTGTTGGACATGCCTACCCAGTGCAAGCATACGGTATAACAGCGTAAAAGTTTGGAAGTGTCTATTCCAAGAAGAAACTCCTGACTCTAACCTAACTTTGTGTAAATAGACCACAATATAGAAATATGTACACATATGCAGTTGTGACTGACGTGTCTTTTTTCTGAATTTATACAAACACTATTTCATTTTATAGTAAATTTGTTTTTGCTAGTTTATGTTTATGAACAGAGACCTACAGATGCAATATAGTAAAGAAAAAAACTCTTTTGTGAATCTGAATTTAAAGCAAGTTTTTATTAAACTTAAACTTGTAATTAAGTTGCAAATAAATCTTAAACTGAAACTTTGCTTGTTTGCAAAAAGTTATTTCAGAGCCACTCAGTTCTACCTGATGGAAACTGTTTGCCTTCAGTGTTTTGTGCTTATGATGATTTTAATAGACATCAGCGTCACTAATTAATGACATTCTATTAAAAGACTGGTTTACCAAGAGTGACACTGGAGTATTTTCACCTAAAATGAGTTAATGAAGCAAGTAATAGGACATTAGAGCCATAATTGATCTTTTAGTACTTTTACTTTCGATACTTAAGTACATTTGAAGGCAAATACTTTTGTACTTTTACTCAAGTGGAGGTCTAAAGGGAGGAACTTCTACTTTTACTGGAGTAATATTTTACCTTGGGTGTCTCTACTTTAACTCAAGTACATGATTTGTGTACTTCGTCCACCACTGGATGTATGTGATATGCTAATAAAACAGAAAGCAGTGATTAGCAAGCTGCGTTTTTGGGGTTATTTTGTTGGAATATGCAGGCATCAGTTTCACAATGAGCATATCGCTGCTGTCGGAAGAAAACCTTGTATCTCCAAAATGGTAACTTTACAGGAGAAGGAAAAAAACCTACTTTACTTTTAATGTAAGTCAATGGAACCAGACATTTTTCCGAGTCATTTTTGGTCATTTCTTTTAGTTCATTCATCATGAAATTTACACACAATGTAAAGGCCAACAGGCATTTTCAAATTATGTCAAAAAATTGAAAATATCAAAAATGGAGATACGAGGTTTTCTTCCGACAACAGCGATATATTCACGAAAACAACAATGAAGTTGATAAGCTAAAGCATTAAAAGCATTTCCTCGACTCAGCACGTGGATGTGCGTCACACCTGTGTTACACAAGTGGTAACTAGCATCAGAAGCCAAGTAGGTGACAGTGAGGAGTGAATCAAACGGAATCCACTCGCCCTCGACAGGTTAGCCTCAATGAGCTAACTGGCTAGCCATGCAAACTTTGCAATACAAAACCTTTTTTAAGAAGTTTGAGCATAACATACATAATGTGAGTGAGTAATTGATTTGTCTGGCTATAACCTTGGAGTACAGCCGTGCTGTAGTGCCTTTCTCTTTGTTCTTGTCAGCCATGTAGCCTTTAGCATGCTAACGAACCAGCTAGAAGAGTAAAGTGATGCAGTTGTATCAGTGCTCATGTATAACAGATGGAGTAGTTTGTTAGTCCTCCATTATTATCAGGCTTGAAAAGGGAAATGCATCAGGCTGCAATGATCTCTGGGCAAGTTCTGCTGCTGAAGATGGCAAAGGTGTTCACTTGATCCCTCGCTCTCTAATACCTCTCACTTAAGCTAATAAAGTGATGGAACGGCCCTTGAAATGGCACTGGGGATTCCCCCGAAAAATGATGAGGCCAAGTGGACGAGGGTTTATTAAAACAGGTATTAAAGCACGGGGCTTTTCTTTGAACACAGGTTAAAGTGGATTTGCAATGTTTACTTTCTGTTTTTTTTTTTGGCATTTCACTTACTATCCGAACTTTTTTTGGATTTGAGGTTTGTAGACAAAGTTTGAGCAGCCTTTGAGGCTTGTTGGTACCTTGTACATATCCTCGTATTTCAGGAAGAGGACATTTGAGTCCATGCGATGCTCCCAGAACTCCTGCACATGCTCAAACCAGGAGCCGTATCCCACTGCAGGTGCAGAAACAGAGAAAGAGCATGGTGAATATGGTGTTCCTTGCTGTGCTTGCACATTTGTTTCAAGCTAAATTTACACAGTCCATCAGTTTTTTCCACTGCATATTTATGAAAGTATGGCTCACTCACACTTGTCATTCATGAAGCGTCGGCAGAACTCCTGGAAGGTTCCACGGTAGCTCATGGTTCTTAAAGAACGGTGAAACTGGTAGTAGGAAACCACCAGGTCTTTGGGGTTCCTGGCCATGTAGATCACCTGAAACACATACACGCATACACACTAAGGCACTAGTACTGTGGTGACCAGTAGTATCTTCAGTTACATGCTATATGTGCATTAACCCTCCTATCTGATTATTAGATTTTTTATTTTCATGAAAAAAAATTCAATAATAGTAATAATATTAAAATAATATAAAAAAATTATAAAATAAAAAATAATAATACAGTTGACCGAAGGAAATTTAAGCTGTAGTGCAGATAGAGTGTGTATCCTCTGTGATGCCTACAGCTTGAAACATCTGTTCTTACCTTTTGTTTAATCATATCCTTAACCAATACTACATTGTGCAGAATTATGATTTGAATTAACTTCAAATCAACTTTGAAAACATTGTGCAATGAAAAGTAGGTAACAGTCTTGCTACAGTCCCATTTTGAAAAACTATTCTTTACATTTTTGCCATGTTTCTGTCATTTTCTGACACTGAAATAAATGGAAAAAAGACACAAGTGCAGATTCAGACCTGCTGATGCAGAATGTAAATGTAAAATGTGTATGTAATGTAAACTGAATGTACTATTATTTATTACTGTCAACCAACAATAATAACTCTACTTTTCAGGGCTAACCTACAAAAGCCAGAGCTCACCTTGCCCTCCCCGTTGTGCATGGCCGTGGGGAGGAAGCGATAGGGCAGGTGACTTTTGATCAGGCGAGGTGATGTCAGCTCCTGCAGCATCAAATAAAAAGCAAAACTGCAGCATTAGTTCAACACAGTTGACAAGTCAAGCTGACCTGGTTGACCTGCTGTTAATCAGTTGCTACAGTTGTGGAAAAGCCTTTTGGCCATTTAGTTACACATAATTCAAAAGCTCAACCCTGTGTTTATTATTAGATTTTACAATTTAAACACTCTACTTATATGATGTGTAGCATATCACTGCTGTCGGAACAAAACCTTGTATCTCCAAAATGGTAACTTTACAGGAGAAGTGAAAAACATATTTTACTTTCAATGTAAGTCAATGGAACCAGACATTTTTCCAAGTAATTTTGAAAAATGACCCTTCTCTTTTTTTAGCTCCATAATTCCAACTGTTATTTTCACAGTTCTGGTGCCAAAACTGAAATGGTCACTTTTTTTTTTTAAAAGTGATGCATCTTGGCTGCTGAAGTAAAACTCTTTAATGAACTGTTTTTGACTATAGGACACATGCACTAATCAAAGCCCAAAATCTTCATAAACATCCTTATCCCTATACAGCTGTGAAAAAATGGAGAAGTTCTGTTTTAATTCATTCATTCCCCAGGCCAAGAGACAGAATAGGAAGCTACAGAATGTTCTTTAAAAGACCACTTTCTGATTCTCCTTCACTTTACCGTTAAACTTTTATATGTCAGCAGTCAAGAGGACATGACATCATTACTTATTGAGTTATCAGTGAAAAGCAGTGGGTCATGAGGGTTTTGTTTAGTCAGCTCAGTTGCATCACTTCCATCTGAGAGCTGCAGTTATATAGCATAAGCATTCTTTCTATTAACATCTGCAGTATATCTTTACAAGTCACCTCTGAAAAACTGTCTTTCTTGCTTTTGCTCTCCTTCTTTTTTCATTTGATGTTTTCGAATTGAAAACAAAAGGCTGCTTCTTCTTACAGACCGTGACTAGACATTGCCGTTGGCTCTGTATATAAACTAGCCTTAATTTATTATTTAATAAATGGTGCGTTTCAACTAAGAATCATGTCTTTGTGGGCTTTTGTGGGCTTGTCTTTTCGGGATCCTTTCGAGGCCATTGAAATCATCCTAATCTGCCCCCCTTACAGCACCCCTACATGTGTGTGTATGAGTGTGTGTGTGAGTGTGTGTATAAACATACCTGGATAATATCTAATCCAGGCTGTGGGTACTCCAACACTGGAAGTTGCTCATCAATATTCATGAGTCCAATCTCATCTGGGTCCGCCCCCTGACTGACTAGATACACTACCTCCTGCAACAAACTCGTGCCTTTGTGAGCATAAATAAGAAAAAACAATAGCATATATTATGTATTTGTGTACATATACATTATATACATTATAGCAGTGTTTCTCAGCCCTGGTCCTAGATGCCCACTGACCTGCATGTTTTTGTGCTTTTCTGCTTTAACACAACCACTTTGACTTAATAATGGGCTGATTAGTTAGATCAGGTGGGCTAGGAGCTGGAAAAACACTGAAAAGTGCAGGGCAGTGGGCCTCCAGGACCAGGGTTGAGAAACAGTGCATTATAGTGTAAATGTAAGGAGGCTGTATGTAGACCATGAGCTAAAAATGCAAAGATTAACCTTCTTTTTATATTATTTCACTTATATTACCATATATTTTAGCTTAGCTTTTTGATCTAAATATTGAGGTTGCTCATAGCAGAGTTCGCCCTTCTTGACAGTTGACAAAGAGAGATATTCTGAGAAACGAATGTCTTTCATACTCCTTGGAAGACCAAAGGCCTGGAGATATGCGGTACAGGACATGCTGAAATATATTGACATTCACTTGGAAATGAGTTTGCATGGTTTAAAAATGAAATAAATTAAATCATTTTTGTCCTAAATCATAACAGGGACATGGCTATACTAAACACACTTAATATCGGATAAGTAATGACAGAGTCTTCATAAATTCACAAACAGTGCATTCAGATTCGGTCATACCAGAAATCCTCTTATGTTATTTTATTATTTACAGTGGTTATAGCAACCCGTCACAGCATAATACATTGCGTGTGTGTGGGGGGGGCTATGCATACTTTTTCCACGGCAAAAAATATGATTTCATAGAAGAAAATACTCATTCATTATACTGTCATGTGAAGAAGTTTAGACTGTTTAGATGTTTTTCAACATATTTGGAGATGCAGATATCAATAGATTTGATAGATTGCAGATTTGATACATAAAGGTGATATAATTTAACGAGTAATATTTTAGAACTAGCATTTATTTATTGGTCATCCTTTATATAAATCAGTAATGCAAAAAGTCAGTACATCTTTACATATATTACTACTTCAAATGTGTCAAATTGAAATCAGATGCACCTGATCAGGTGCTAATGATCAGAACACCATTAGAGAATATCTTGGAGGAACTTGTCTTAGATAAATCTCAGATATCTGGTCTGGTTTGCTGTTTGGTATTGGAGTGTGTGGTATCATCTTTGCTGTCTAAAAAGAACACCTGGCCAAGGCTAAAGCTTGCTAAAAAAATATCCAGACAGGGACCAGGGCTTCTGGAACAGTGTCAAAGATAGAGTTGTTTGGCTATAGTATCAACTGTAAAGCATGGTGGTGGAAGTGTTATGATTTGTTGCCTGCTTTGGGCTTCTTTGCTGCCTTAGGAGCCTGGCTAACTTGCAATCATAGAAATGGTTTTAAATAATGTACTTAGATGCCTAAGACTTGTTATGGCAGTCATGGGCCGGAGGTTAGGAAACCAGCCTTGTGACCGGAAGCTCGCCGGTTCGATCCCTTAAGCTGACAGTACATGACTGAAGTGCCCTTGAGCAAGGCACCTAACCCCCAACTGCTCCCTGGGCGCTGTGGATAGGGCTGCTCACGGCCCCCTAGTGTATGTGGTGTTTCACTGCACAGATGGGTTAAATGTGGAGGTGAAATTTCCCTGTTGTGGGACTAATAAGGGTCGCTTATTTTAAAATTATTAATCTTGAGTGGTTTTGTCCTTCAAAACACTATCACTGTACTATAAAATAAATAAACAGAATGAATAATACATATCATAAATACAAATAAGTATTAATATTGTAAAACATCACAAAAATATCATCTTTTATCTTTTAAGCTGCTTATCCTCCTGGGTTGTGGGGGGGTGCTGGAGCCTATCCAAGCGGTCATTGGGTGGAAGGCAGGAAACAGGCCGCCCGTCCATCACAGACAAAAATATCATGTTTTTAAAAAGTATTTGATATAATCTGGTTAGGAGAACACAGGTTTGGTTCTAGATTTCTCCTCGATGCCTCCAGTCATCACCTAGATTTCTTCAGTACGTATGTGTATTATAATATGTTTTAACATATATAACAAATGTGTAATATAGGTGGGACGTATGGGACACATCATGGCATTGTATAAAAACAGAAAGTGCATGTGTGTTTATGTGTGTTCATGAAAGTGGGAGCCAAAAAGAGATAAAGCGAGATCTATGTAGGCTCATAGGTTCATCGGTCAAACTTGTGACCTTTAACCTTTACTTTTTTTAGTCAATAAGCAGGCCATGTGGTATACATAGCTAAAACAGCAACAATCCAATATGCAGTAAAACTACAAAAGCCTGTAAAGTATAAAGGGACAAAACTTATAATAAACCCATTAAACATTATTAATTATTAACATCTCTTTATATAACCTCCTATCTTTGGGGAGAAAAACACCTTCTTCATCCTTATTGTGTGTTCTCATTGGCTGATATTCTAGACGTGGAAGACAGAATGAGCCAATAATGTGGGCTTTAGGCCAAAACACATGTGAACTCATACTCACATTCTCAGACACAAAGTCAAGCACCCAACAGAACCGTCACAAACAGAGCCATGCAACCACTCGAAAATACACATTACAAAGACTAGGAGGAGATTGCATGCAATGCCATTCCTAGAAAGTTTAATTCCTGGGTGTTCCTACTTAATGACAATCTTCCATGAAATAAAGCACAAACCTATTACTAAATCTTTATTGAGAAACGTTCCGCTCTACTTTGTAAAGCCCTCAAGAAACACCACAGTTTTGCAGATGTTCTCTGCCTCACTGACATTGCAATGAAGAACTGATTGTGCTGCAGTGCTCTTGTAAACATGCTTGTTGGCAAAAGTAAGAGAGTTTTAAGTGTTTGTTTTCGTGTATAGCCATCCTGTTTCAGTGACTCAGATACAAATGTTCAAATGTAAACAGTGGCACGTGAGTTCGATCCCCTTTCCCTTCATTCATTATACTGTCATGTGAAGAAGTTTAGACTGTTTAGATGTTTTTCAACATAGTTGGAGATGCAGATATCAATAGATTTGACACATAAAGGTGATATAATTTAACAAGTGATATTTTAGAACTAGTATTTATTTATTGGTCATCCTTTATATGATTCAGTAATGCAATTTTCCCATGTGGAAAAAGTCAGTACATCTTTACATATATTACTACTTCAAATGTGTCAAATTGAAATCAGATGCACCTGATCAGGTGCTAATGATCAGAACACCATTAGAGAATATCTTGGAGGAACTTGTCTTATTTAATCTCAGATATCTGGTCTGGTTTGCTGTTTGGTATTGGAGTGTGTGGTATCATCTTTGCTGTCTAAAATGAACACCAGGCCAAGGCTAAAGCTTGCTAAAAAATATCTAGACAGGGACCAGGACTTCTGGAACAATGTCAAAGATAGAGTTGTTTGGCTATAGTATCAACTGTAAAGCATGGTGGTGGAAGTGTTATGATTTGTTGCCTGCTTTGGGCTTCTTTGCTGACTAACTGGCAATCATAGAAATGGTTTTAAATAATGTACTTAGATCGTGTATAGCCATCCTGTTTCAGTGACTCAGATACGAATGTTCAAATGTAAACAGTGGCACGTGAGTTCGATCCCCTTTCCCTTCTCCGCTGACAGGCCATGAAATAACACATGTGCTTCACAATTCCTAAAAAACCTTGTTATGGTAGCTTTACAAAAGAACTTTATTGTACATTTCTATAACATGATTTTATCCTAAGTGATTTCTTTTGGTCCCTTCATTGTGAACTGTTCACATAAAGGCATTTTGTGTCAAAAAATAGTATAAAAAATAAAAACAGAAAAATTAGAGTCACAAGGTTTTATTCAGCTGTAATTCTCGAACACTGGTATCATCTGACTAACCAGCTTACAAGCAGTGGAGAAACTACACAACTTGAAATTACAACCTGACAGTTCACTTTTACATTTCATTGCAGAGCCATTTGTAAGAATATGACTATGCTAATACCACTAAATGGTACTGACTAGTGTGGTAATGATCTATTCTCTGCTCATATTGCAGATGTGTATTTTAAAGTGCTTGGTAACTCAGTAGTAAACACTTATATAATAGGTGACTCAGCAGAATTGGATTCCTAAAATCCATTTATTGAAAAAAGTTCCATCTTGACTACTTTTCAGACACTGTGAGGTGGTTTACAAGATTAAGCCTAGTCCTAGGCTTACAGTCAAGACTATAATGGAAAATCACCATTGCACTGACAGGAACAGGTTTAGCATAAGTATCAAGAACGGACATCCTCACCCCGACATATACACAATGTTTTTATGAAATGTCAGGACATGGGGTTATATATATGTCTCATATTTGCTATATATGTCATCTCTATCCAAAGAAAACAAGTATCTCCAAAATGTCAAAAGGATAAGTTGAAAACATGCTTTACTTTTAATGTAAGTTAATGTGAAGAGATTTTATTTCAAACAATTTTGGAGCATTTCTATCGGTCCATTCATCATTTTGGATAGTGATGATATGTAACTACCTGTAATGTCAGATGTCATAAAAAAGGCAGCTGATGATTGTGATGCAATTGTAAAATTGTCAATTGACAATTTTATGACTAGATCATATCAACTGACAGGCTTTGATGGATTGGAGATACAGAGGATTTCCCGAAAGCTTTGATGCTGCTTCATTTTTTCCCTAAATTTATTATGAATTTTCTTTTTACTTTATGCATTCATGTTCATCTGTGCATCTATTTTAAAGCCATTTACTGTTTACTAATTTTCATGATTTTCTTCAAAATATTACCTATAGTTTTTGTGATGTTTTACTATAAGCTGGCAGAGAAGGAATGCTATTTGTCTTTTCTGTTGAGAGTTTTCGGAAACTATGTTTTCTGCCATTTGCCATGTTTAAATTGGCAGGACTAAATTTGCCTCAGGTGACGTCATATCTACTCAAGTAACAATCAGAGTTAGCACTATGTATACGTCAGCTACTTATACCCCTTAAATTGATTGATCTCCCGCTGCGTCCCAGACAAAACCTCCAGCAAGACGGTTATTTAAGCTGTTCTAAATTCGTAAACAGTGCTTGTTATGAAAGTTTACACCACTATTTGTGTCGTAGCTAGATGCTGCTTCCTACTTGTGTTGCAGGATCCTACTCTAAGCGATTAACTTCACCTGCGAGAGTGTGATAGCTAGTGGCCCACCTTAACTGTAGGAATAAAATGATACATTAGCTTAGTATGACTTTAGCTCCCCCAACATCAAGGCTCACAGTGTTTTCCCACAGTTGTACTTTTTAGGCGCGTGAGTCACAAAAAGAAACTCTCCACAGTGTCCGCAGACATGAATCGTAATGGCAGCTTGTGTGTCCTCCGTTTTAGAAGCATGACCCAGCAGTTAGCTAGCAAGCTGTGAGTTCAGATTACAGACACGATATGTCTGTGATCTACCCATCATACGATGAAAGTTCTTGAAAGTTCTCATAAAGGACCATCAGACAGCTTGTTCTCCATTTTGCACTCACTTTTTACTCACAATTCAAAGACCAGCCAAGAAGAGCGAAGTGCTCTATTTTTCTGTGGGGGGGTGGCTCAAAAGTGTAGGACCACAGATGCCTGGTTGTTTATGTGACTTAGGAGACATCACTGTCAATCATTTTGCATTCTGATATGCCCACACAGTTAGGAGCAGATATAGCTTGAAATTTTCAGAGCATTTATCTACTATTAAATTGTATTAATGTATGTATATTTCTTGAATTTAACACTTTTTTTACTGCATATCTTTACTATTAAAACAAAAATGTAAACATTTGAAACCAGGGGCATGTTCAGTTGCAAAACATTATGCACTGGTTTGCTACGATTTCTGGGTTGAACACCGAAACGGTACAAAATGGTGTGTAATGGGCTTTGAGGTACGTATTCTCTTGTTTGATAGGTGTCAGAGGTGTTACCCAGTCAGCAGTCAGCAGTAACATGTATATAAACCTACTGTATTGAAAAGGCAGTGCCCACAACGGATCCTCTACAAAGGCAGCCGCTGCAGCTTGTTGTATGCAACAATTGAAGACGTTAGAAGACGTGCTCGTTGTAAGTATTGTATTGTGAGTGTTTTAATGGAATAAGCTATAAGGACACCAATAATGGCCTTCTCAGCTGCCATTTTCAATGCCTAACACAACAGAGTGTTCAGCGCACCACTGCTTCCATTTAAATAAACGCTTTGCCATGTTTTGTCGGGGCTGAACGCAGCCCTGGTTGACAGGGGCTTTAAGACCTAGAGGCTGATTTACTAAAGCCACTAGCATGACACATCCAGTATTTGCTAACCTGCTGTCTGCAGAGACATTATCCTCACTGAAATAAGCCAAGTTCTCTCTCATTTGCTGTCTGCCCTCACTGCCCTCCTCTTTATCTCTCCTCTCTGTCTGCCTCTGTCTCTGACTCCTCCGGATCAGGTTCAGGCTCAGCTGCGTCTGATCACTTTGAGAGTGTGCAGAGAGGCTCAGGGGAACCAGACTGCGTTCTTTCCTCTGTAATACTCATATTAAATGCGCAGGTGGTGGAAGAAGTGCTGAGAGCACTTTATAATGTATCTGCAGTTTCCTGTAGGCCTGTAAAACAGGAAGCGCATTATCAGCTGTGTCAGATCTTTGCTGTACGGCCTTGTGTCTATACTGTAAGATGTGAAAGGAGATGGAAAGGAACACCATTTTGTTTTTGCTGTTTGAAATCAGATCATATTTTAACCTGAGCTTTAATCTGGGTTTACATTTTGCTAATGTATCTGGATATACTTTCCATTTAAACTCTTCACTAAAATGCGCCCCCAGTTTGACCAGTGGAGACCTGTTTTTACTTTTTTGCGTAAATGTAAATTTTAGCTGACGATTAATTGCGGTGTCACCAAACATGAGTAAAATTTGGCTGGCAAAAAAGCCAGTTCACTCGAATGGGTAAGGATGCAGGGACGAGAGAAGGCGATTCTCTTCTGGTAGAGGTTAATTTTGCGTTCATCTAGTAGAACTTTAGGTGAATAGAAAACAAAGCGAAGAGCTGTGGTGTATTCTTTTTGAAAAACATGTGCTGCTCTCTAAACAATGTCTTTTTCGGGGAAGGCCTTGCTAATTTCAGCAAAATGATGTCAAACAACATTCTGCACATATTACAGCAGCATGGTTCCATAGTAAATAAGTCCAAATGCCTAGCTAGCAGTCCAGACCTGTCATCCATTGAAAACATTTGGCACATTATGAAATGAAAAATATAACAAAAGAGACCTGAACTGCTGAGCAGCTGAAATCCTCTATCAAGCAAGAGTGGGAAAACATTTCACTTTCAAAACGACAGCAGTGTCTCCTCAGTTCCCAAACACTTATGTAGTGTTGTCAAAAGAGGTGGTGATGCAACACAGTGGTAAACATGCCCCCGTCCCAACTGTTTTGTCTATTACTCTGCTTAACCACCAGTGGGCCGCCCGGAAAATGCTGAGCAAATCACCAGTGGCCTGCCAGCTTTGCCATCAGCGGGCCAACAGTGGTCCAATATCCTCTTGCTATCAGTGATTAGCAAATATCCAGTATGCTAACAATAGAGGATGTTATCTGCAGCACAGCACTCTGTTTGCAGTGATCACACAACATGTCGGGTTTTCCCTGCTGGAAAACCATCACAGGTCAGCATAGCTGGTCAGCAGAAAAACCTGCATAAGATTTGTGTTTTGGATGCTGGTATACTGGTCAATCAGTGTGACATGACCAGCATAGATTAGCATAAACCAGCTTAGGCCTGTGCTCTTTTTTAGCAGGGTTATCAGACATACAAATGCTATCTATGTAGATTAATTAATCTTCATGCTACACTACCAGAGCCCTCCGCAAGTAAAAAGTTGTCCGCACAGCTCTTCCCTGCTGAAAATCAATAGTGGTCCTTGTGTCCAATAGTCACTACTGGTGTTATCTGATGGGTTGATATTGCAGTGTAAAGGATTCTAATGGTTTAACAGGTGTTCTGTGATTGATTATACATGCATTTGATGGTTTCCTAAAAGGATCTAAAGGTGTCCTACAGGAAACTAGTGCCCAGTTAGCAAAATTTGTCTGGCTCACATTCTTTGTGGGCCACATTCTTGGTTTGTTCTGGCCCTGTACATGGCTGGGTCCTCAGCCTAGATCTGGCCCACACACTGTAAAGTGAGTAGAACTATAGGGTATGGCCCAAATGTGGTCCCAATCTGGCCCAACAATGGTCCACATGTTCACGCCAGAAATGTAGGCATGAGGCACAACGGTATGAAGCTGTCCAGGATCTGGCCCTATTCTGGCACGCATGCCTAACACCTACCCGGTAGTCAACCAACACTCACATAGAAAAGCCAGAATCGGCCTAAAACTGTCTGCTATCTGGGTGGTCTCTAATGGTAACCATGGTCTTTTTTTCAGCAGGGTTGGCTAGGAGTTTGTCAGGCTGCAAAGATTTCCCCAAAGCTCAACAGAAGGGGCAGATATTCAATGTGTGCTTTGGCACCCCCATAGAACTGGGCCTGTCTAGACCCACCCATTAGGATTGACTAGCATCCCCATTCTTGCACTAGCACTGGCTAATACAGGGGTGTCAAACTCAACCACTAAAAGGGCCATATTAAAAAACTTCTACAAATCTGTGGACCAGAGAACATCTGTGTTTTTATTTGATTGTTAAATAGCATTTTTTTATAACCTGAACTGGCCATTGTTTATTCAAAATACACCAAAACACCAACATCAAAATAAAGGCAGTTGTTGTGAACCTTGAAATATTTCTTGATGACCACTTGAGTTGTTCAAAATCAAAATATATATATATATATATATATATATATATATATATATATATATATATATATATAGGCTACAGTACACAACATTATGCACAATAAAAGAAGCTACACTGCATTATGCACTTTATGCTGCAGTGCATGTTGGGGGTTGTAGTGCAGCGCGTTGTGAAACAGGCTTATATTAATATTTGAAAATGATTTCATAGGCCAGATCAGATTATGCTACTTCTATCTGGCGTTGTGTTTGATACATGGGGCTAATAAGTCCTGCTAGCGCAGAGGGCGGGGTTTGTCGGAAAACGGGTAGGAAAGAAAAAAGAAAACCCGCCTCATTTCGACGATTGTCAACACAGCCTCTCTGCAGCAGGCCTAGCAAAGAGCTTTACATTTTCCTGTGCTGTTCTACACAGTAATCGACACATACACTCTTGTCTGCACGATAAATCTCAGAAAATAAACTTAATTTTGAACCAGAAAAGCTAATCATACATGCTTTGTCAAAGTTGAGTGACACAAATGACATTGTATGCAGGCCTAAACCTAATAAAGGTCCAAACAAGGATAATCCAGAGCTCCACAACAGTTTCCTCAACAAAATGTGGTTTTACTGATTGTGATTCACCACATTAATCTACAGGCAAAATGCATAGTGGTTACAGAAACAGGGATATATCAAATATTGCATGTGCTGCGTCAGAAAAAAGGCTTTAGTACGGTAAATAAGCCATAATAACAAATCCACAGCCCCTTCATCCCTCAGGCACGATGCATTTCATCTATACGTGATGCGTTTGTCATATTATGGCACGAGGAATGGGAGTAAAGCACGTTTTAACGACACGAGCCTACAGCGCGCACCCGCAGTGAAGAGTGACGTCGATGTATAGCTGAGATGAAAGACCTTCAACCCAATGAAGGTTTTTTTTACCTGATTTGGGGTAAGTAACGATCCATATGTCGCTACTTCTGAGGGAGAAGTTGGCGATCTCGTCCATCTTCCCCCTGCAGAAGGGAGGCAGGCGAACTCCATGATGCTCGAAGTATTTGCTCTCGTACTCTATCGGCGTGCTCGGTGTGTCCACCTCGCTTTCTGCCATCTTCAGAGAGAACGCAAACAAAAAAGTTTCGGGGATTTTTTTTCACTTGGAGGATAGAAAAAGAGGCATTTGATGTCAGGTAGTGTCGATGCTTTGGCGCAGACGTGCTGGTTTGCAGAGCGCCTGGACCGTCAGCCAATCACGTTGGTCCGTGATGATGTAATCGGTGGGGCTTCCACCAGCATCAGCAGCAGCAGCAGCAGCAGAAGCAGCGGGCGGATCCTCCTCACTGCCTCTGCCCTGTTAGGTAACACGGAGGCACCAGACTGTAGGAGGTGGCTGTTTACTGTTGAACGTTAAAGGGGGAATTCTGTGGAGTTCATTCTGTAAATAAAATAATAAATAATAATAATAAAATCCACAAGCAAAGTGTTAAGCAGCCAATCAAGAGGCTCTCAAGCCTATCAAAATTCCGCAATCTGGCGAATATATATATATATATATACACACACACACACACACACATATATATATATATATATATATATATATATATATATATATATATATATATATATATTTGGATATTTATCGCTGTTGTCGTAACAAAGCCTTGTATCACCAAATTAATAACTTTACATTGCTTGTTTTTTTTGCTCTGTTCACCATGAAACTTACACACAATATAAAGGGCAACAGGCATTTTCAAATTATGGCAAAAACTGAAAAACAATAAAAATGTAGATATGAGGTTTTGTTCTGACAGCAGTGATATTCTGCCAGTCTTTGCTTTAATTTTTTTCTATTTGCTGATTCTTCTAATATATTATTTTGCTTCTGACTTCTTAAAGCCCTACATAATACAGCTGTTAAGATGTGAACAAAGTCATTCAGAGTGGTTTGGTGTGAAAAGCTCCGTTCTAGAGTAGCATACCAAGTCAGAATTGTTCACAGTGGTGGTGATAGGAACCAGACGTCCAAAGAGTTCAGTGCTTTTAAGAGTTACCTTACAGATGAATTAGGTATATATAAATTGCCTGATGACTGAGACATTGCTTTATAATAGTTCTTAGAAGGTTTCGGCCTAAAACATATTTGTAAAATCCATTCATGGTGGAGAGATGCATGCAGGGTGTTGTAAGACAAAGTAGTCCTTTGAGATGTAAACAGACTAATTCAGAGTGGTTTAATGTGGTGTAATGTGGCACATTGTGGAGAAATTTGCAGGTTTCTTTACAGTGGTTGTGATAGGAACCCGGGTCATATATAGCGATTTTATTAACTATCCAAAACCACCAGTGGCTTCATGTTCTTTTATGTAATGTTGATGGTGGTAAAATAGTAATAAATCCAAAAAACGTAAGGATTTTCAGGTACTGTTTTTCTTACAACACACTGTGTGTATCTCTCTGCCCTCTTAGGCCAAAAGCGTGTCTCAAAACCATTGTAAAACAGTGTCTCAAACATCAGACAGTGTATTTGTAACCATTTACTGTAATAACTTGTGTGAGATAACGTTTACAAAGCCTGAAACACTTCAGACGTCTTGTTCCTGTGACTACTGTGAAGAACAGAGCATTTCATGCCAAACCACTCTAACACTGTTTACATCTTAACCTTTGAATTATGCAACTGATAAGATGTAAACAAGCGGAATTCCCTTTAAAGGGAATGGGTACAGATTGGTAAACTGGATTTGGACTGAACACTGCTCGTTTAGATGGATTAGGTTTCTACGTTGGAAGCAGAGTGTATGTATAAACCACCTCCCTGTATCTACACTCACTGTCCATTTAATCAGCTCCACTTAGTTCTTTGCAGTTCTACAATCACAGACTGTTCATCTGTTTCTCTGCATACTTTGTTAGCCCCATTTTACCCTGTTCTTCTATAGTCAGGACCCCCACAGGACCACCACAGAGCAAGTCCTATGGTGGTGGATCATTCTCAGCACTGCAGTAACACTGACGTGGTGCTGGTGTGTAGGTGTGTGTTGTGCTGGTACGAGGGGATCAGACACCGCAGTGCTGCTGGAGTTTTTAAACACTGTGTCCACTCATTGTCCACTCTGTTAGACACTCCTGCCTTGATGGTCCACCATAGTCAGAGACGATAGCTCATCTGCTGCTGCACAGTTGTGTTGGTCATCCTCTAGTCCTTCATCAGGGGTCACAGGACGCTGCCCACAGTCCAGCAGTGACACTGAGGTGTTTGTATATACATATACATATATATATATATATATATATATATATATATATATATTATTATTTTTTTTTTTTACTGCACTTCCATTTTAAGGACCTGAAATACAAAAACAACTCATTTTTAAATGAGGTAATTAATCAATATGCTAAAATAACTAAAAGCCAACGATCAAAGAAATAATTTTGAAAGAAGGTTTAGATTTTTATTTTATGATTTATTGACAGATTTCCTGAAGCATATAGGATTAAAATGAAACTCGTTGAAAAAGCTCTGGGCCAATCCGCTTTAGGCCATTCAGACGAAGCGTGTGTAGATGAGGGGCTCTGCATGGGAGAAAAATGCTGGATTTGCATTTGAGGAGGGCGGGGTTTGTAATAGGAGAGGGCGTGGCTTATGTAAGAGGAGACCGCTGCTTCGCGGTTCCTATTGGCCACCGGCCTCAGCTGCGATAAGCAGCAGGAAGAAAAACAAGCCGGCAGCTTCTCTTTTCAGCTCGTCCAGAGAAGCTGTGACCTGTCAGCGTGACCGGCCTCGAAAAAGGCGCTGAGCAGCGGCATGAACTCAGTCCAGACCAGCTTTACTGAGAAGCACCCATAACCTCCCTCATCCCCGGACTCGGAGCCTTTCTGTGGGCGATGTTTGACCTAAAAGGAGGCTGGAACATCTCGTTCGCCGGCTGCGGGTTTTTGGGCATTTACCACATCGGCGTGGCGAGCTGTCTGCTGGAGCAGGCGCCCTACCTCATCCACGGAGCCACCAGGATCTACGGAGCTTCAGCAGGGGCGCTGACCGCCTCTGTCCTCACCAGCCAGGCATGCTTAGGTACCCACTGAGCCTAAAACACTTACACTGCTGATGTACATGCACACTAAACAGCATCTAGAGTGCACACTGCAGACTGTTCAGGTAGCCTGCTGTTCACTTAACATGGTATAGACTGAACATAGACTGCTTACAGACTGGGTGCTCCAACTGCACACTGCTATAATATAGAATAATACATGACATATTATAATACACAGGGCTGGGCAATATGACAATATTATTGTGTATTATCACAATACAGTATGCTTTTCTGAACATATTGTGCATAACATATCAGTACTTATAGAAAACTAACTAACTGCATGCTTCATTATAAGGAGAGCAAAATTAGTCATGTTTAACTGGATTTAGTGCGAAAAATGTAATTAAAATAATTGTGTTCATGATTTTTGATAGTATTTTTAAAAAGTAGTACTACTATTCTTTTTTCTCTGATCAGATGTCTGAAAAATTAAATATCGTGGCATATCATGTGTCATGAAAAGTTCTTAAAGTATCGTGATATTATATTTTTGCTGTATCGCCCACCTCTAATAATGTAATATAAGATATACTGGTAATATTATTGTAATAATCCTGATGTTATGATTTTGGATACCAATGATTATGAAATTACGATAATCGAGATGAAACAGTTATTGTGCTGCATTCCGTTTCACAATGATGCTCTTGTTTTGTGTCATGTTGCAAATCCAGTGCATCACTTTGCTTTACAGCAGTGCACTTTTGGCCCTCCCTACTAGCCCAAACTCATCTAATTTCTTTTTATTTATTATTTTTATATATGTCTAGACGTTTTCAGTATGTTGTGGCAGTGCACTACAGCACAAATGATCTTATTTAGTTTTTATTGATTATTTTTAAAGGAATTATTAAAATGTATATATGCCTGTATATTGTAGCCAATTCAGTTAATTTTTTTAATCTTTTTTACATTTTTTTATTTGTTTTTCAGTTGAATTATGTTTAAACTTCAAGGAAATCCATTGCTAAAAAGACACTTTTCTTTTTTAAAGTTCAATAAATTCATAATGTTCGCAAAGTCAATGAGTTATCATGTTAAATAATCATGATCTCAATATTGACCCAAATGATTATGATTTTTGTCATAATCGAGCAGTCCTAATATATAGACTAAACATCAGAGACAGCAGTTATCTGTACACTTAACTGACTTAAAATCAGATTCCACTCATTGTTCTGCACGTTGGGATAATTCATTTACGATGTTGAGATTTTGGTTAAACAGAGTCGGTCTGGATGTTTTGGTGTGAAGTGGTTTATTGTAGAGAAATTTAATGATTTCTTTACAGTGGTGGTGATAGGAACCAGGGGTCACTACGTCTACAACTCTAACACAGCCATTTATTTATTATCCAAAGCGCCCAGTGAACCTACACGTGATGTACAGTATTTGCACAGGCCTCTGCTACAGCTGAGCTCCAGAGTGCTAGAGCTGAGTTAGAGGCCAGGGAATGGATCAGAAAGACTGCTGGATAATGATAGAGACATACAGCTGCACTTTCTTTCACTTTCTCTTTCTGCTGAACCGTGGAACCGGTTTTTATTGTGCTTCAGATGTTGATTGACAACTGATAATGATATTCATTCGTGGCATTCTTTGTTCATTTGATCAGGTCCACTTACCATATAGGAGCACTATGTAGTTCTACAATTACAGACTATAGTCGATCTGTTTCTCTGCATACTTTGTTAGCCCCCTTTTACCCTGTTCTTCAGTGGTCAGGACCCCCACAGGACCACCACAGAGCAGGTATTATTTGGGTGGTGGATCATTCTCAGTACTGCAGAGACACTGATGTGGTGGTGGTGTGTTAGTGTGGGTTGTGCTGGTCTAAGGGGATCAGACACAGTGGCGCTGCTGGAGTTCACTTTAGTGTCACTGCTGGACTGAGAACCAACAGCGTCCTGTGGGCAGCGTCCTGTGACCACTGATGAAGGACTAGAGGATGACCAACACAAACTGTGCAGCAGCAGATGAGCTATCGTCTCTGACTCTACGTCTACAAGGTGGACTGACAAGGTAGGAGTGTCTAATAGAGTGGACAGTGAGTGGACACAGTGTTTAAAAACTCCAGCAGCTGGACTACAGTCTGTAATAGTAAGTCTGCAAAGTGCAACTGTATGGTAAGTGGAGCTGATAAAATGGACAGTGAGTGTCAAAACAAGGACGGTGTACTTAATGAAGTGGCTGGTCTGTGTAGTTATCATAACACAGATTTCTCTCCTTTCTTGTATGATCTATTAGCCCACTCTTTGTTTCTTCTCTCTTATTAAGCTGATTTTCAATTTTATTATCAAATGTTGGGACTAAAGTTCTTTTGTCACTAAGATTTTTATCAGTTCTTCCACAGAAATCACTCTTAAAATCGGACATGTTCCCCACTACAATACAGTATAAGCAAATATAAGCCTCAAAACCCAGATGTACACAAATGTTGCCCACAAATATTCGTGCAACTGTATTCATGTACGGTCTGTACAAAATAACATGTACAGTCAAGGCACCTGAGATGAGTTGGTATAGGACAAAGTCAGGCATCTTCAGTATTTTAGGACCGTATAGTGGAACAGCTCTCTAATCTACTTGCCAGCCTGTTAAAAGATAAACAGTAGATAGTTGCTAGGCCTACAGGGTAGTTTTCTTTGCTGGACTTGAAGGCATTTATTAGAAAGCACCAGTGAGTTTCCAAGAAGACGTGTTAAGCAATTCAGTCATCAGTTAACTACTTGAACTCTAGGCTTATCGGTCAGTTACAAACCCTAAGAATTATTATTCAGTAAGACATATAAACTGGTTACTACTATGAAACTACTATGTAGGATATGCAGTTCTAAGAGTGTGGAATTGAAGTGTGGGTCCACATTCAGTACTGCGCAAAAGTCAGAGACCACCCTTCACTTATTTAATTTCCAGTCAAAACAGCCTTTAAGCACAAGTCATTTTTCAGCATCAGGAAAAAATATATGAAACACATAATTAGTAGAAAAATACACAGAAGCATCAACAGCTGGATATGTGCTCACTCTTTACCTTCACTACAGCTTCCATTATTTTCAAGAGACTTGCTTTCAGTTTTTCAGTGAAATCTGCAGGGATATTTTTCCACACCTCCAAAGTTCAGTCTCAGAAGTTTGTTGCATGTTTTGCTTTTCATGTTCTAAGTCATTTCAAAGACATTCAGTGATGTTGAGGTCTGGACCCTGGGGTGGTCAGTCCACTGCTCTGAGAGCTTTTTTACCTATGTCCTTTTCTCAGTAATCTCTTCTTGACAGCTACACATCCTTTCAGACCCATAGCGCTGAGTCGTCTTCTCACAGTGGAAGGATGGACAGAAACACCTGTGGATGTTTTCAGATCTGAAGCAGCTTGATTTTCTCCTCTCTCTCAAAGATGAAAGCTTTAAGTGCTGTTTATCTGATGAGGACAGTGTTGGTGTCGACCAGGTCTTGCATGGTTGTTAAGTCCCATTTTCTCGGTAGCTTTCAGGAAGTAAAAGAATTAACGCAAGCTACTAGCCGCTTTTCTGAACTGGCACTAAGGATGTGCTAAGCAGATGTGCTTCACTTCCTCTGTGTTTAGCTGTGTAATTTTAGTCGACTCTGTGTTTTCATGGTGCTCTTTTGCAGAAAAATGCTGTGAGGATGTGATTGACGTGGCTAAGGAGGCCCGGAAGCGTAACCTGGGTCCGCTGCACCCCACCTTCCACTTAGTCAAGGTTCTGCGTTCCGGCCTGCAGCGGGATTTGCCTGAAGATGCACACTCTCGCGCCTCTGGAAAACTATGCGTGTCCCTCACGCGTGTCAGTGATGGGGAGAACGTGTTGGTCTCAGACTTCAGCTCCAAAGATGAGCTGATCCAGGTGAGGCTGCCTTGTCACTGTGGAAATAGAGACTGTCTAGCGGAACTGCAAGTAAAGCATCAGACCAGTCACAATCATGAAATTTTAGCCCACTTTTGGTTCATGGTATGCAACTCTTGAAGCCTCATTGGATGATTAGCTATTTTGCTTTCTTGCCGTTGATTCTTAACAGTTCTCAAATGACGACAGACACAGCTCAAGCTCAAATAAACAAACATCAGTCATTGCTGCCCTGTAAAGGCGTTACAGCACACAGTCAGAAGTTAGAACTTTTGTTATCTTTGTAAGAACCACAGCTCTGCTTTCTTTATTTACATTCATTTGCCTCATCCCAACTGATAAACATGCCCAATTCACATTCTGTTTGTTTTTAGAGGGCAAATAACTGTGAAAAATAAATACAATCATCAAAAATTGTGACAGGCCTGGCTTAAATCATCACACAGTTGCCTTAAACAGCATTGAGTTGTTAAGTAATCTCAGATATACCTAAATATGTTTCTGGTGCTATATGACATACAGTGGTGTGTGAAAAGTTTACGAACTCCCTGTCAAATTACATGTTTGGGTGATTTTCTAAGTGAAAATAAGTTAACGCATTCTTTACGGAGAATACATGTCTGCACACTTTAATTCACAATTACTGTTTATTTGCTGAATTTTACATATTGGGAAAAAAACGCGAAATGTTATGGCACATTAGATATTTTATATTTTCTTTTTCAGCATCAACTTAGCAAATATATAAAAATTGTGCGCTAGAAATTGCAGAAAAGTGTCATATTAAAAATGTCTTCAAACTTTTGCATATGACTGTACTGTTATCTTTAAAAAACACAAATTACAGACAAAATTCAGTCTTCAAGACGGATGCTGTGACTGTTTTTATCTGTGATGCACCTTAAATGTAGATATACAGTGTGAACAACCACATAAGCAAGTCTAGATAGTCTAGTCTACATAAACAAGTCGTTACTTAAATACTTAACATGTTTTTAGGCAGTTTAGAGGTGGCTATAGGCTTCCCTTGTTTGTTAGCCACATTAGTTTCATAGCTCTAGTGCAAAACTAAAGAAGTAAACTCCAGACGCAAAACGTCATGGCCGGTCAACCACATTTGGGATAAGAGGCAAATTGTGTAAAGTGACCAAGTTTGGCCAAACTATGGCTTTAATCAGCTCCTGCTAAGTTGAGCATAGGCAGGACTTTTTAGATGTAAAAAGTTTTTAGATGTGGCAAAAAGTTTTGCAATCATGATACTAATAAAGCCTTATGATTATCACGGTCATTTCCCAGACATGACATTACTGCCATGCTGTCCGTTTTACAGCCATTTAGATTAAGGAGCATAAAAGATACCTGATCTAATACATCTGAGATGAATCATCACTTTTCCTCTCCCCAGGCGCTCATCTGTAGCTGCTTCATCCCTGTATACTGTGGTCTGATACCTCCTGCCTTCCGTGGAGTTGTAAGTGTCAATGGTCATTTTTATTGTGATGTCATTTAAAACATGAGGTAATGTTGCTTTTTACACCAGGTTACACTGCGAGTTGATAGTCCACTCAGTTAGGACGTTGATACCAGAGTCCACGCTGCTGCCTTTGCGCTGGAGAACTGAGTCACTAGGGCTCATTGGACAAACATGAACCCTACATCACACCATATTAACATGCCACTCTGTTTTCACTGGCAGAATTGAGTGAGCTTTTAATGCTAAGCAGGATTTGTGGGTATCAGGTTTTTGATCCTCTTATGAGTTCTCTAAAACACAAGTCAGTTACATGCTGACTAGCGCTGTCTCTCAGCAGCACCCGGCCCTCCCCCCACTGTACATTATGTACTACATTCTTAGAAAGTCCTGGAACAGGGCCAAGCTCACGTTCATGAGGGCGAGGAGTGTCTCAATGTATAGAAATAGCTCCTCCTTCAACAGAGACACACAGGTTAAAAACATCTCCGCAGAGGTTTTCACACAAGGCTTTACATGGGCTACTTCTTAATCAGCTACTGTAAAGGTGGAAAAAAGAAGTTTCATTGCATCTGGACTTTATTCAGACATTGTTTATGGCTCTTGGACATCATGCCAGTCCCAAGTTGCCTGCCAACAGAGCCGCCAGTCCTAATTACGATTCATCCTGAGGAAATAAAAGGAGGTTAATTCTTTTCGCCTGAACTTTAAAGCGCATTACATGGCTAGAAGTGACCCATTGAGAGAAATGTCAAATGTTTTAGTGGCGTGGCCGGCAGAACCCACGGCAGAATGAATGAGGCCTGATGGTGCCATTATGTAAGACCCGAGGGGGTTTGATTTCCTCATTCATATTTGTGTCAGCCAGCCCTGGCACTGTCTCAACTGACCCAGAGCGGACACCTGCACACGGCTGCTATGCTGCAGACCGCTACAGCGGAGAGCCAGCCTGTGACACATGCAGTTGTATGCAGAAGTTTGAACCCCCACCAGTTTAATGACATGGTTTCTTGATTTTCTGACTGAACACAGTTAAATATGGCATTTATCTGCAGATTTTAGTGCACAATTTTTGTTGATTTGCTGAGTTTAACATATTGGAAGAAATAAAACATACAAAACATAAACTAAAACTTTAATTTTACTCCTCTTATTAAGTAATGTGATCTCTAAATACTATCAATGTGGCTAATTTAAATTGAAAATGGTCAAACAAAGCTGAAAATTCACACATTTTGGTCATCAGTTAAAAACTTTAGCGAACCAATGAACGCACAGACATCAGTTACCATTGAACAAACATTTCCAACATCTAAAGTTGTTGATGATTCAGTCTGAATCCGTGTAAATAATAATAAATAGTCCTAGATTTAAACACATATTTTTATTGTTATTGCATTGTGAGTTTCAGAGATAAACACACAGAACAGATCAAACTACCACACGTGCAGCACTAATTGGCAGGACTGTAGCATTAGAAGCCCAACAAGTGCTTCTCCGCACTGGGCTTAAACCTTCTGTCCCACAGGGAGAGCAAACAACTTCACAATTCAGCTAAACAGACAGTAACAAAAAACACCCACTACAGCACATCACTCCCAGTGTTGTGTGCAAAATGTTCTGACTGGTTTTAGGCTGAGGCACTCATGGAAGTTACTCACATTTTGCAGGCTATAAATCCTCCACAAGGGGGCACCATTAGGAGTCAAATAGCTTTTGATGCTTGATAAAAACAGTACTTCACATTGTGAGACACTGAGGTTAGCCTTACAGTGCACAAAGATGTACTTGCAGTCTTGATGTAAGCAACTGTTGGTACAGTAGCGAATGGCGCTTTTGTAATTTTGCAATACGTTTTTGCTGTTTGCTTCAAAGAGAGCTTAGTTAGACTTGTTTTAAAAAAGGAAATCTGTACTTTTTTTTGTATTTTTATTATACATTTATTGATTCATTGATTCTTCATGACATTTTTGTAATTAAGTTCGACTTCTTCTAATGTTTTGTATATGATCCTCTGTGAGGTTGTTACATAGGCCTGCAATCCGAAGTGCCAGTCAGAGCCTCGGACACTTTTTGTGGAAAGGCGTTGAAGCTGCAATAAGGCAGGGCTTGTTTGTAGCTGTGTGAGTTGGTTTAGTCCTCTCTCATTCTGCCTCAGTTCTCCAGCATAATCACCCTGTAAGGACTTTGTGCTTGGTTACACATTAGCTCACAATACAGTGTACCTCACAATGTGCATTTTTCATTTTTGCATTTTTCATTTTTGCATTCTTCCACACATACACAGACTCACAGACATGTATTCATGTAATCACTCACACAGACCCACTCTAAACAAAGACTGAAAGTGTTTTGTACAGTACAGTGCAGTATTTAGCAGCCAACAAATAAGTAACAAATAATGAATTTTTAAAAATATGCAGTTATGCGCATTAATCATTCATGAGTGTATGAGGACAGAAACTTTCCTTGGAGTCTGGTTGTTGTAACCCTCATGAGACTGAAGCGCCTGGGCCTTTTCACTTCTTTCTGTCCTCCCTCCATCTGGTGCAATATTGCTGGTGTACAGTATGCAGAATGTTAAAGGGGACCTCCAATAATTCAGTCATTGAGATGTAATTTAAAGTGGTTTGATGTGAAGTAGTTCATTGTTGTCACGCATCCCTCTGACCGTGCTCTCATGAAAGACTCAATCTCCCAGAATTCTTCCTGGGAGATCACATGACTGTCTCCCCACCAACACAAACCACTCTCCTTCTCCCTCACCTGGATATTGATATGCAGCCCCTGTGTCTGATTATGATGTCTTTAGTTAGTATAAAGGTCTGGGCTTGTAGTCTAGGTCTAAGCGAGGTATTGCGTCTTCTATAGAGCTTTTCAGCATTTTTATGTATGGTTGCTTTTCCCAGGTACTGTTTCCATTGCCTGTTTTTCTGGACTCTCTGCCTTTTGCCTTTTCCATTTTGGATTGTTTGTTTGGATCTCTTGGGTCTCCTTTTTCTGGTTTTGACCTTGCTTTGTTCATCGACTATGTTTCTCTTGAACCCCAGTAAAGATTGTTGTAACCACACGAGTCTGACCTGCCCGACTGTGTTACAATTGTAGAGAAACGTATCTTAGCTAGGATTTCTTTTCAGTTTTTATTTACTATACAGAATGGTCACTGCTACAGTTAAGGTTACATCATATTCCTACAATCCTTGTGCAAGAGAAAACACGAACGTGTCTTTGTCAGCATGTAATTTAGAGGGGAATTTCAGCGAATTTTCAAAATTTCTGCATAATTCAGTGATTGAGATCCAGGTTTGGTGTAAAATTATTCATTGTAGAGAAATTTCTTTACAGTGGTGGTGATAGGAACCAGGGGAACCAGGGGTTGTGATGCTTACAATGCAAATATACCCATTTTATTAACTATCCAAAACAATTAGTGAACCTACACGTGTCTTCTGAGTTTTTATATGTATATGAATTTTATATGTTGATAATGATAAAATAGTATTAAATCTGACAAAATACGTTTTTTGGGGGACTTTGGGACATTAGAACACCCAGCATGTATCTCTTCCCCAAGATTGGATTTTAAAAACACATTTTAGGCCAGAACTCGTGCTTTTAGAATGATGGATTTCACATCATATTTTATCATTTAATCAATCAGAATTTGTTTGATTTAATCATTCAGAAATTTTGCAAAATCATTGGAATTCATGCTTCCCTCGCTTTCTCTCTCTCTCCGCAGAGGTATGTGGATGGCGGGTTCAGTGATAACCTCCCCCAGTCGGAACTGAAGAACACCATCACCATCTCCCCGTTCTCCGGAGAGAACGACATCTGTCCCAAAGATAATTCCAGCAGCTTTCACGAGCTGCGGCTCACCAACACCAGCATTCAAGTCAATTGGGGAAACGTGTACAGGGTCAGCAAAGCCCTCTTCCCTCCAGAGCCCAAGGTAAGGGCACTGCAGAGTCTATCCTGCTTCTCTGGGGCCTCCTTCCCCTGCTCACACACGTGCCGGCGTGTGGAATGCAGGTCTGACAGGATCCTGATTATGTAAGAGGCAACTCCAATCCGCTCAAGGCGCGCACGCGTAGGGTCCTGCCCTGAAGTGGCTCAGAAATCGAATGACATAGCTGTTTCAGCTACATGGACTGTGGTTTACACACAGAAGGGTACAGAACAGAACAGAATGGCCATATTGTCCAGCCAGTGCGAAATTCTGTCTTTTCCCTTTTTTTCCCAGAAAAACAAACAGGAATGACGACAGACGGTTCATGCTGAGTGAAATGTGTACATACTTTCCGTGCAAAAAGAAAGAATTTCATAATGAAACTGTTGCCTCTCCCAAGTTGCCTAAGCACTATTTCAGATTTCACAGTAATCAGTTTCAGGAAAACACAGAACACATTATGCCCCAAGACATCCAGAACTTTTCAACTTCCTAAAGTAATTATATAAACCAGTAAGTCAGTCAGAAGCTCACTTGTGTAGAACTTTACACTTTTGAAACTTTACATTGCCTTTAGAAGTACTAATATCAGTACCTATACATTATGTATCAATGTATCAGGTTTCCTTAAAAGGAAACAGTATGTACTTTTTTTGTTATTTATTCATCGTTTCTAACCTTATTACAGCTTTGATATAAAGCTGGAGGGCACAATGTTTTCCAACACAGCTGTTACTAATGAAGGGATTGAGCATAAGCTGATGAGTATAACAGTTCCAGGACTTTAATAGCTAAACAAGTTTAAATTATTTCATAGCCGTTACTAAATGATGCGCCTTAAAGGGGAGTTCCACTGATTTTTCTCTACAGTGGTGGTGATAGAAACCAGGGATCGCAAATATAGCCATTTTATTTACTGTCTACAACCACCAGTGAACCTACACGTGTCTTCAGAGTTTTTATATGTGATGTTGATGATGGTAAAATGGCGGTGTGGTGGCCTTACAACGCTTTTGCATGTACCTCTCCACAATGAATAGCTTTTTCACCGTAAAACATCAAGCAGCGTATTGATATGGAAGTCCGGAGAGGCCATGAGCTGTTGCTATAATTTTCTGGATTGTTATCTTGAGATAATGCGTTAATTATCTTGTGATCTCAAGTTAACAACTTTGTTATCTCAAGATCACAAGATAATTAACTCATTCTCTCAAGATGGCAACTTTGTTATCTCAAGATCACGAGATAATTAACTCATTATCTCAAGATGGCAACTTTGTTATCTCAAGATCACAAGATAATTAGGTCATTATCTTAAGATAACAAGAAAACTAACTTGTTATTTCAAGATAACCACTTTGTTATCTTAAGATAACAAGATAATTAACTCGTTATCTTAAGATAACAATCCAGAAAATTTTATCTTCCTTATCTCTCTGTGATGTAGATCTCAGAGGCATTAAGCTCCTCATGCATCTGGTTCCCATCAACACCACTGAAAAATTCTGATGTTTCTCTAGAACGAAATGTTTCACATCATACCACTCTGAGCGACTTGGTTTACATCTAAATGACTAAATTATGTAGAATTTTTTAAAAATTGGTGAAATTCTCCTTTAAGATTAATAACTGACTAGTAAGATTTAACTGAGCAGCTTTAAGGCCTGGAGTTCAACTCATAGTCTAAAAGGTTCCTGTAATGCAGCAGAAGATTCACTTGAGTATAAGAGTTTATCAGCTGCATATGACTTTTCTATATCGTTGATGCTGCATCAACACCTTTTTATATCCAATGGAAACAATAAGCTAACACTTCATGATGAACGGACCAATAGAAATGGCCCAAAATTACTTGGAATAAAGCCTTGTTGCATTAAGATGCATTAAAGTTAAGAAGTTTGTTTGTGTAAAGTTGCCAGGTGATGATATGTGTGTTTGTGATGCACTGTGCTGTGAATCTCAAGTGTTTTCTCTTATACGTGTGACAGGTGTTGGCAGAGATGTGTCAGAGTGGGTACAAAGATGCCTTCCGGTTCCTCAAGGACAACAGTGAGTTCTATTCATTTGCTTGAAGGAAACACAATCATTGTTTGATTGGGTGTCATTGCAATTCATGCAGTAAATGTATTGAATTATTCCTCATTCAGTAACACTGAGTGTGTTTACATGCACTCAGTTATATGAATATTCAAATGGTCATGTAAACAGCACACTCCAATTTCTTAGATCAGAGTAAGGTCTAGAAATCCGATTAAGAAATTAGATGAAGAGAGCTCAGTAATCAGATTTCTCAGTGCATGTAAACTCTTACTCTGATTTCTTTCGGATTTCTCAGTCTGCACATGTGCGAAAACAGACTGTGGTACCAGAAATAAGCAAACAGCGTTGCCGCAAGATGCAGCGATGCTGAAACCAGATACATGCTTGACGAAATGAAGGCTTTAAATATTCTTCATCTTCTAGATGATGTATGTTCATATTTTCGGGTAAAGTGGTGCAAGTTTTACATTACATTTACGTCACATTTTCTTCTATGAGTTTATTGGCTGGTTGCAAAGTAGAAATCTGATTACTGCCTGACTCATGTAGACCCGGAGTTTCCCATTATCTGATTACTCAAGTGCATGTAAACGCATCGATCGGATTACTGACAAAATCTGATTTTCTGCAGTTATCAGATTATTAAGTGCATGTAAACGCACTCACTGATGGCATTAACAGGTTACTGTAATGCTGCGTTTATGTGTTGGTGTCGGTGAGCTTTCTTTCACTTTTTAATGGAAAACATCCTTCAGCTTCCCAAAATTAACAGGAGGTCCCACACAAATGGTTAAAAAGAAGTTTCATTTTTTTGTTTTTTGCCATTTAGCCTCATTCACACCATTCACTGGGGACTCGCTCGCAGGCGCCCTCTGGTGTTTTCCAGTCATATTTTTGATGACAGGAGTAATAAGAACTGGCCAGGCTTTCTTTAACCCAGCTTTGGTTTGGTGTCCATGGCCCCCCCCAAAAAATCCACATCTTGTTTATTTCATCACTGCGGCTCACTGCAAAAGGGAAAATTGAACTCTTGATGTAAAGTTTTGCTGACCGTTGTCATACGCTGCCATTGCCTCTGAAGGTGTCAGAATTTCCCATTCTGGCTCCATTGAAAAAATGGAATACCCAGTTTTCTGTATACTGTCATAATGTAAACGCAGTATAACATTAGTGTAACTGGTCATGACAGCCTTTCACTATGGGCCTTTAAATACAAACTCTTCCTTTAATCATGTGATTATCATTTGACCCTCAGATCTGTTGAGAACCGAGTGCCCAACCACAGACCTTGCCCTGACGCAGGACCCGCCCCCCTGCTGCTGCTCGGGTGTCAAAAACTCTGTCGTCACAGAATCCACAAAGGAGTGGATGCTGCGGAGACTCCGCCTCTTCAGGAAGCACCACTGGTGGCTGGATGAGCAGCTTATTGATAACCTGCCCACACCCATTAAGAAAGGTAATAGCTTACCGCAGTGTTTGTAATTAATTAATAGAGATGCACAATGATATCAGAATCATATCTGAATCAGCAGATATTTGTTTAAAATAAAAATATCAGACAGATGTTTATATTTGACCAGAATTTCAAATTAATGTTTCATGATGTATATATTGTACTCTGGAAGAAGAGAAGATGCGCTGAAATATCAGCATTTTATTCATTTTTACTCCATTTAAAACTATTCGGAAATAAATGTTATTTTTCTCTGTAATTCTGATCCAAATAGTTGTAGTGCAATTTCTACATTTTATAAACGTATCGGCATCTGTATCAGCATCGGCAGACACATACACAGAAAATATTAGATATTGGCATTGGCACACAATTCACATATTGGTGCATACATATTAATTTATTAAGCTTTTTATACAAAATAGCAAAAAACTGAAGGCCACTAGCTTCATCTCTCACTTTCATGTCTCTAAATGTTTTTTCTTTACATATTCATTGGACAAGGATTTCCATTTAGTCATGACAGGCTGCCCTGGTTACTTGATTAAACTCAGTTACTCAATTAAAAAATCAGTCGATTAAAATTTCCATTCATAAGCAGTTTGAATGACAAACATGGTATCTGCGGGTCATGGTAAAGCCGTGTTTAACATGCTGAAGACTCTCCACAATGGAGAGTCATTAGCACTCTTTTATGTGCATCACTGAAAGAGAGGAAACCCCCACCAGCAGGATCTTACTATAACATGTGTGTTCGTAATGACACATTTTGTGTAGTCAAATAAATGTTACAAATTTTATATATATGAAGTACAAGTGTATACGAAGCAGAAGTTCTTGCTTAACTAGGTTTAGGCTGAACAGCTACGCCAGTAACATTCAACTGCTAGAAAAATGTCTGTGTATAAGCAGAGCTGGTCAACCTAATTTTAAACCCTGTGTGGAAAGTGAATGTACAGCACTGCTGGCTTTAACATTGAAATTCCCATAGAGGTGCTGGCAGAAATGAGCATTATCATAGCAGGTTATTTATAAAGTGAAGATTTATGCAGTAACTACTGCTATATGATATGCATGGCCAAGTTCATGAAATCACACACTCCTTCACAGACGGGCTCAAAGCAGCATTAACAATTCTCAAAATGGCATTAAAAATGACTGAAATTAATTCAATTGCTTATACCTGCAGATATCTTAATAATACATATTTTAAATTCTCTTAGTGGGCACTGAAATGCACAGTTTATGTCTTGGAACTTACCATCGTTACCCAAAATGATTACGTAGTACTTTGGAGTTTCTGCCTCACACTTACCTGGTTAATACCTAGAACTTAAGGCACTGTAAAGGAAAGCGTTACCCATTATTTGAATATTTCCCCCAGTGTCCGGCATAGTTTCAGATATCTTCAGAACGGAATAATAATCCTGTACCTATCCTGTGTGTATCTGTGTGTGTGTGTGTGTGTAGTGTTCTGTGAAGCGTGTAGGGAGAAACACGGCCTGTTTGGTCAGCTCACTGCCCTGTTGCCAGTCCGAGTGGCCTCCTACATGCTATTGCCCTGCACTCTGCCGGTGGAGTCGGCCTACTCTGCAGTCCAGAGGTACGTTCTCAAATTCTCCCCCTCAGCTCTCCATTGACATATTTACAGGCTGACATTACACAGAGAGTAATGTGATTCTCTATTTGCATGTATGATCATCCAAACCACCTGCTGCCATGTACGTTGGCGCCACCTGGTGACAGCTTGTGTTATTGCCACACCCCTAATCTATTTCAGATCGTAAACATCTTGTTAATGCCCTGTTTACCAGTGTATTAAAATCCACCTTGAGTGATCGTGGCCCAGTTTTCCATAAGCATCTTAGTATTAAGATCATCTTAACAGGTCTTCAGTGCTTTCTCTATCATTTAAGGATCACTTTTGTGGTGAGATGCTTTCAGGAAACCCAGCCCTGATCACAAGTGGACTGTGAGACATACAGTCTGTTCTCGAATTTCTCAAATGTGTCTCCAGTGAACATTTGTGATCAGATTTTAGTGAAGGGTGCTATGCACATTAACTACGTCAGTCTCACACTGTATTTGTTATCACACAGAAATGTTTGAGTCCTTATTTGTGTTATAAATGCAGTAACATTTAGATCACATGGGCTACTAATGCAACTTATACACAAAAGGGAGAGGGAAGCTACTGTTGTCTCTGCTGTGGTAACAAAGTTTATTAGGTGGCACTTTGTTCGATTTACGATAAAAAAAAGTCAATTTTTTTTTTTGTTCTTATTTTTCGACATCATTTGAGCACAGTAGCTGCTCTTTACATTGCCTGAAACTTTCATAATGAATGTAAGAATAGAAAAACTCCAAAATGACTTGGAAAACAATCTCTTTACATTAACTTACATTAAAAGTAAAAATTATTTTTCCTTCTCCTCTTAAGTTAAAGGAGATATGCGTGGGTTGAGTGATCGTATCACAATGTGTCACTGAGATACATTGGATCCCATTCACACTTGTGCTCCCATCCACTTAATGCTGCATGCAGAGGCTTGAAGACCCCTAGTCAAACAATATGCATCTGGGTTTTTTTCCTGCAATTTCAATGCAAAATTTCGATTTATTTGCCGAGTCAAACATATTGGAAAAAATAAAACATTAATCTAAAACGTAACTTGCCCAGGCCACATTCTGTTTTTTTCCAGTATGTAAAATGCAGCAAAAAACCTGTCACTGTGCATTAAAATGTACAGATGTGTGTTCTCTGTAGTGGATGTGTTAACTTGTTTTCATGTAAATCAACAAAACATGTAACTCAAACTTCAAACTTTTGCATACAGCTGCTGTACAATTGGATTACTCAGGATATTTGTTAATGTCAGGAGTGAAGTTCATGCATGTCGTGTTTTGCAGGTTTGTGGAGTGGATTCCAGAGGTGCCTGCAGACGCACGCTGGCTTTACGAGATGGCAGGAAGTGTTTACAAACACGCCTGGAAGGGAGTGTCCCCAAAACCGGGCAGGTAAGAGTGCAAAAATGTCCCAGAAGTATCATCAGCACATATATGATAAAATGTAAAATTGATTCTGATGTTCCTGGATAAGATCCTTCACTCGTAAAATCAGTTACAACAGAAGCAAGTCTTATTGTTCTCTTTCTGATGCTATTGACTATTCACTGTGTTAAAGGGCCCATATCCTACATTTTCCTTGTTCTCTGAGGTCCATTTATGACATTTGTCTGGCTCTATGTACCAAAAACCACTCATCATTCCTTTGTACATGACCAATTTGAGACTTTCTTTATCCCTCTAGAATTAAACAGGCTTCTTTTTGTTGCTGTGCCTTTAAGACTGTTAAATGTAAATGAGCTTGGTTCTGGCTGGCTGCCTTATATTACATTGTGCCACATTCAAAAAGCAGTCCTGACTGAAGCACTCCTTATAACTTCAGTGTGAGTGGGTGGAGCTAAACTGCAGTAGGCTGAATAGGTAGATAAATATAAATGTTTTAGTTTTTGTGACATCGCAAAAACAGTGAATTCAGAATGAGTTATTTTTGCAGCTTTGTTTTTATAGCTGTGTCCCAATTCAGGGGCTGCATCCTTTAAAGGACTTCGAAGGACACGGTCTACACAGACGTGTCCTTCGAAGGCTGCGTAGAACCGCGAAGGCTGAACTGAAATGAGATGGTCTGATCAATGGCGGATTTCCTGTTTGAGTCACAGCAACGCTGTTTCCTGCTCTTACCACTGCGCCACGAAACGCCGCTTCCATCAAGTTCTTTTGATTTTTTAAAGACAGAAACCTTGATTTTATTTCTTATTTTTTCATTTATTAGACCTGGAAATGTGTCTCTCTTTCTGCTCTTTGCTCCCGAAAACAAAACGGAATGTTAGCAGAAAATTTGCTTCTGACCCCGTTAGCTATTCGACTTAGTTTAAGCCCAGTACTTACATTTAAAAGTGTTTCCTCAGCTGCCGTTTGCTCCTTTGCTGACGCCGCCTTGTTCTCGAATGTTCACCAGCATGCAATAAACCTCGGGATATGTTGGCTGGCGAAGGATCCACCCATTGGATCCTTCACCACCATGGAAAAGAAGGACACATTTCTCGGCCGCATATGAAGGAGACTTCGAAATGGGGCAGTCCAGTCGCACCGCAGTGACGCAGTCGTCCTTCAAATGCAGCCACTGAATTAAGGCACAGCTTATATATGGGCTGTATAGATGGGTCTGTTTTGAAGCTTTAACCGTGTTTACATACTACGACTTCAAAAAAAAAAAGCAAGGAAAATTAGATTGTCCATGATATGGGCCCTTTACAGTTTGTCATAACCACAGTTGTACACAATACACTCTGATTTGCAGCAACACTGTCTAAAAGCTGTTAGCACTCAATCAGCTAATGAACTTCCGGTGTTTTGAAAGTATTATTTATTGTATAGTGGCATTCCAATGCGACGGTGTGTGAGTGGGCCGCCTACGCTAGACCTGCAGCCACCTGCTATGGAGCTTGATGGACACCTGCCGTTTTCCGCCACTGATCTCCATGGTTACGGCTGGGATTCGCCCACCAGCCCTCAGCCGCCTCTCAGTCCGTGCACGTCCAGCCCCGCCCCTGAACAGATCTGCTTTTTCCTTGGCTCACAGGACGACTCCGACAGCTGAACGCACCAGCACATGGACAGTGTGCATAGACATGAATGGACAATGGCCAAGAGTACTGGCTTTGTCTCACGACCTCCGTGCTACACGAACAGGCACTGAGAAAGATGGGCCAAGTTTATGCAGATGCACATGACTCATGTCTGTCAAGCACAAATGATAGCCGCTCTTTAAGAACCAAAGACCTTTCTCTATTTCATTTTTGACCACGAACATGGGCCTAAGCTCTTAAGTGCACTTAAAACAACAATAACAAAATTTGCATTCAAATGTGATATTAACAAACATTAACATGCACAATAGTTAAAGGTGTGGAATGTTCTTTTATGACAATCGTAAAAATTACGAGCTGGTTTTCATAACGATCACTGCGACGTTTGAGGTTACATCCTATTCTTACAACCCTTGTACAAGAAAAAACAAGAATGTGCCTTTTGTCAACATGTACTTTAAAGGGGACATTCAAGCAAAATTTCTAAATTTCTGCATAGTTCAGTGGTTGAGATGTAAACGAGGTCATTCAGAGTGGTTTGATGTAAAATGGTTCATTGTAGAGAAATTCATCAACTCAGATTATATTACAGTGGTGGTGATAGGAACCAGAAGATGCTTACAATGCAAATATAACCATTTTATTCACAATCTGAAACAATCAGTGAACCTAAACACGTGTTCTGAGGTTTCGTATGTGATGTCGATGATGGTAAAATAGTGGTAAATCTGCAAAAGGTGAACTTTAAGTACCATTTTGCATGAATTAAAGTACATTTTTGAGCCAAATTGTCTTCTCAAAACTACCATAACAATGCCTCAGGCATCAGGCAGAATAGGCATTAAACTCTTTAGACATCTGGTTCCTATCACCACCACTGTGAACAATTCAGACTTGGTAAGTTTCTCTGGAATGGAGCATTTCACACCAGACCACACAGAATGACTTTGTTTACATCTTAACCATTTAATTATGCAGAAATTTAAAAAAAGGGTGGAATTCCCGTTAAATGTTGTAGGATATAATACTGTACATGTTGAAATGTAAATGAAAAAGTAAATAAGATGTTTATATATTGTCTCACCAGCAATGATGTAAAAAAAATGAATTCATATTAACCCAGACTGCAATATATCATGTATTAGGTCTTGTGTATTACACCCCCTACAGTGGTTCTCACTATCTAGTAACCTGTTCATTCAGTGAGGATTCCTAATCTGCTCTTTAAAGGCCCTGTTTAAATTTAATCAAAGGTATTTAAGTTATTAACCATCCTTTGCTGTATTGTTAATATAGTGGAAACCTATTACAGTGGGAACCTTTATAAATAACAACCTACTTTGAGGAGCACATCTGTTTCTGCACTACCTTAACAAACAAAGTCCTCTCTGAATTGTAAATAAAGACAAAAAAGTGGATAAAAAGCATATTTTAAAAATGTCTTGATGTGGTGCAATCTAGTTTTCCATGTATTCTTCCGGGTATCTCTGGTATCTGTGTAGTGGTGCTGCGGGAAATGATTTGGGAAACACTTCCAGAAGCTGCAACAGGACAAGAAACAAATAAAATAAATTCTATGAACATATAAGACAATATTTGGTGTCTTCACCAATTTATATGTGTGTGTTTTGTCATAACACAATGCCAATTGCACAGTTTCCCATTAACCCCCACATAGTCAGTTGGTCAAGGCATGTTTGGTGACTGAAGTTTGAAGTGGTCACCAGTTCAAGGTTCAGTTTTTGGTGAGGACCTGAGTACGAGTGGAGTGTTCACACATCAAAATGGACTAAAATAAAGAGAAAGTTTGATTAAACAAGCTAGCTGTGGAAGTGACCTTGTAGAGCAAATTAGCAGTAGGTCCTCATAAACTTTCAAACTGACATTTAGTAAATTCACACAGTGTAAGAACATAAACTCACAGATTAGTGAGCTGCAGCTCCTCTCACTGAACACCAACTCATGCAGGTTTTACTGTCTGGAAAATGTCCAGCCTGCAGCTGAAATGGAGATTCTGATTAGCTTTCCCACTGGGTTTGACTCTCTCTCTGGTCATGTTGGTCAGTGCTCTATGTAGTTCAGTTTCTTTTCGATGTAATTGACCTGCACTCATTCAGAAAGAAGTGGGTCCATCTTAAGCATTTAATTATGCAGAGATTCTGAAAAATTGGTGGAATTCCCCTTGAATGTTTCATTCTGTTGGATAATAAATGTTGTCTTAACCCATCCTGAAGTTTTCTTTCAGGCACTGTGTAGCTCAAAACCCACCATCTTCACTACCTGAACTGGAAATGCTTATTCACTTGTAATTAAAAGGGAATTCTGCTGAATATATAACATATATTAGCATATATAAATTTTCTTTATATCCAACTTTTTTGGATTTTATATGTAGCTGTTGTCGGAAGAAAATCTCCAAAATGGTATCTTTACAGGAGAAGGGAAAAACCTACTATACTTTTAATGTAAGACATTTTTCCAAGCAATTTTGGGCTGTTTGTTTTGGTCCATTCATCATGAGATTTGCCCACATTGCAAAGGGCCACTGGTATTTTCAAATTAAGTAAAAAAAAACTAAAAAACAGGAAAAATGAAGATACAAGGTTTTGTTCCGTCAGCAGCGATGTATATATATATATATACACACACACATACATACATATTTAGTATATAGTATATATCATAGTAAACAATCCATTTTATTTAACACACATTAATGGCATGAACTATTTATATATGCTATTCTTCATGCTGAATAAGGTTCTTATGCATCTTTCTTTCTTCCACATATTTTCTAATGCAGTGAAATGTAGTCTAATACTTACATGACGAAACTGAAAATGTGCACATTATAAGCTGAACATTAAAATCATTAAAATATGAAATAAATTGAAACAGGGTGGATTCAACCATGTATCACACATGTATGTATGTTCTATATATTATGCACATATGTATTCACCCACCTATCAGACATATATGCAGGATATGATATGTACATAATTGAAAATATATGCCTGACACTTTACGCTATTAGCCCATATATGGCAATTTATCAGTTTTCTGTATGAGTTTTGAAATAAAATCTGTGATTGGTTTATAAATTTGGCCCCTGGACTACAGTCGATTCCAGTTGTTGTATCTGGCCGTGTACCGTCCCTTTAAGCCGAGTTCCCATCATGCACCGCGGGGCCCGGGTTCTACACGTGTGTTGTGGGCTGCAGTGTGGAGGCTGAACATGGAGAATGGCTTCATTAACGGAGGAGAGGACGAGCTGTATAAAGCCTTCCTGGCTCTGCACACTCCTGCTCTGAAGGCGGCCGGAATCCCCCCACTGTACTGGAAGACCCTCCACTATAAACTCACCAATGAGGTACATTCAGAGTGTTTAGACTGACTGAGTCACCGCAGAGTGACAGCTCAGTAAACGCGCCTTCCTCAACACGCACCAACATTATAAACACTGACCAGGCATAACATTACGACCACCTCCTCGTTTCTACGCTCATTGTCCATTTTATCAGCTCCACTTACTATATAGGTGCACTTTGTAGTTCTACAGTTACAGACTGTAGTCCATCTGTTTCTCTGCATACTTTGTTAGCCCCCTTTTACCCTGTTCTTCAGTGGTCAGGACCCCCTGGACCCTCACAGAGCAGGTACTATTTGGGTGGTGTATCATTCTCAGCACTGCAGTAACACTGATGTGGTGGTGGTGTGTTAGTGTGTGTTGTGCTGGTCTGAGTGGATCAGACACAGCAGTGCTACTTGAGCAGTGACACCTCAGTGTCACTGCTGGACTGAGAATTAGACGGTCAGTCCACCTTGTAGATGTAAAGTCAGAGACGATAGCTCATCTGCTGCTGCACAGTTTGTGTTGGTCATCCTCTAGTCCTTCATCAGTGGTCACAGGACGCTGTAGGCTGGATATTTTTGGTTGGTGGACTATTCTCAGTCCAGCAGTGACACTGAGGTGTTTAAAAACTCCAGCAGCACTGCTGTGTCTGATCCACTCAGACCAGCGCAACACACACTAACACACCACCACCACGTCAGTGTTACTGCAGTGCTGAGAATGATCCACCACCCAAATAGGACCTGCTCTGTGGTGGTCCATGGGGGTCCTGACCACTGAAGAACAGGGTAAAAGGGGGCTAACAAAGTATCAGAGAAACAGATGGACTACAGTCTGTAACTGTAGAACTACAAAGTGCACCTATATAGTAAGTGGAGCTGATAAAATGGACAGTGAACATAGAAACAAGGAGGTGGTCATCATGTTATGCCTGATGGGTGTATACATATTAATAGTCACGTGTCTAAATTATGGCTGTTGACCTCTGTGTATGAACCTGTACGTGGCTGCTGTGTGTGTATTTCAGGTGTTTGATGCGGGGGAAGTCTTTGGAATCATGCGAGTGGAAGAAGAAGAGGGGGATGATGAAGAGGAGGGTGTGGAAGATGAGAATGTACAGAGCAGCTCCAACCCTGCAGCTGAAGTTTCCTGTAAAGTGATAGTGACTCGGGAAAGCGGCTTGCAGGCGTGTGATCCGGCCAGGTGAGGGCAGCAGAGCGCCGTTTTTCCAGTAGTGCTGTGCGCTTTCTTACTACAGGGGCCGCTGGATCCCGCTCACAATCCCAGCCTACAAACTTTATATCAGTGTTTCTCAGCTCTGGTCCTGGAGGCCCACTGCCCTGCACTTCTTACAGTCAGAATCGCTTTATTTTGACGAGCATGTTACACATACAAGGAATTTGTCTTGGTGAGTCAAAACAAAACCTTGTTGTCGAAACAAAACCTCATATCTCTGAAATGATAACTTTACAGGAGAAGGAAAAAACCTACTTTACTTTTAATGTAAGTCAAGATTCTAGTTCATTTGTCATTTTCACAACATGTCAGGACATTCATGCATTACAGTGCTTGTGGTGAGTCTCAGGTAATCACTCTACGTAGTGAACAAATAATAATAATAATAATAATAATAATACTGACTAAGTGACCGAGTGAAATGGTAGTTGGGGAAGGACCCACAGCTTCACAGCTTGTTCAGAAGCCTGACAGCCTGTGGGTAGAAACTGTTCATTAACTGGGTTGTTCTGGCCTGTATGCTGCTGAATCTCCCACCTGATAGCAGGATGGTGAACAGGCCGTGTGCTGGGTGACGCTGTCTGACCTGATCTTTTTGATTTTCCTGAGGCAGTGGGACTGATAAATGTCCTGTAAGGCTGGTAGTTTGTTGCCTATGATGGCTTCTGCCGTCCTCACCACTCCTTTAAGGGCTTTACAGTCACAGGTGGTGCAGCTGCTGTACCAGACAGTGATGCAGCCCGTGAGGATGCTCTCTATGGTGCATCTGTAGAAGCTGGAGAGGATCTGAGGAGGCAGACCAAACTTCCTGAGCCTACGCAGGAAGAAGAGACGCTGACGGGCAGATCTCACAATAGTGTTGGTGTGGATGGACCAGGTGAGGTCATCAGTGAGCTGTACACCGAGAAACTTCACACTGCTGTCTCTCTCCGCTTCGGCTCCATTGATGTGTAGCGGAGAGTGACCACCCTCCTGTAAGTCAATGGAACCAGAATTTTTTTAAAGTCATTTTGGGCCGTTTCTTTTGGCCCATTCATCATGAAATTACTCACAATTCAAAGGGCAACAGGCATTTTCAAATTATGTCACTAATAATAAATAGACCACCCAGCACGAAGACTATTAGCAAGTACTGAACTA